AGTTCAGCGGTTAATCAGCTGGAATCAGCTAAGGTGAAGTGAAGGCGAACAGTAAGTCCTAGCTGTCACTCAAGTGGCCACGCCCTTAATTATGCAGACTTAATAAAACTTAATATAAATGAAAAAAGTGAGTTATAAAAAAATTTACCCCCCTCACAGTTGTCATGAAGGGTAATATTAGCTATATGAACCAAAATCATTCTTTGTACCAGGCTGTAAACACCCTTTTTTCTGCTGTAAAGTTGGCCATTTTAACAGTGGGCTCAATAGAAATCTGCTCTATTATGGAGTCAGGGCTAGCAGAATTTCAATGAATTGCAGTTACTATTTGCTTCACAAGGGAGAGCGGGAGGTTGTCACTTGGTTTGGAACAACACTTCTAGATGGCAGCCTTTTTTTCACTGCAAAGTGGCCTTTGGAGGGCAAAATATGTCATTTTCAATAGTCTCTATGATTTCTTCTTCTAATGTTTATTGATGATTGCCACACCAAATTAAAAAACACCTAGTGGATTAGAGTGTGAAGCACAAAATGGCGGAGAAAAGCAATGTGTTCCAAATGGGATTTATTGCCCTCAAAAGTGATAAAAACAGTTCTGGTCTGTGTCATTCCAAATCAGAGCTCGAAACCAGAAAAGTTTTTTGGTGTCACATTCTGTGATTCATTCAAATAGGCACATCTTTATGCCCCAAACCAGGAGAACTCCAGGGGGAGGCCAAGGGGATCACATTTACAGCACATAAAACATGAAGGGACACTAATTATCATTTGCATTACAAGACTTTTCTTAAGATCTTTACTTAATAGATTTTTTAACTGTCCTTTGAACAATAAAAAAAAATTTAAAAGAAGGAAAAATATGGGGAAAAAGTTGTTTTACCACTTTTAAAAAAATGCATTTTTACCTACAGAGTATAAGTAGTATTAATCTCAGCAGATAGGTTCAGCACCATTAAATATAGGCCACTGTTTTTATTACCTCTCTGCACTATACTAATACTTTTTGTTATTTTATTTACCACACTGAAAAAAAAATATTCAAAAATGATTTCTTGGATTTACTCATTTTTTTATGTTAAGTGGTTGTAAACAATTTATTTGAGCTGAATTTAAACAAACTAATTAAGTTGAACATTATTAAATTTACTTTGTTTGTTTAAATTTAACACACATAAATTGTGTGCAACAGTTTTGCATGCATTACTTTGTTGTAAATATGAGCATTTTATATATAAAACATTTTTATTTTACAATGCCTAATGCTGTGAAACAAAATCTTGATCCAAACTAAAGCAAGCAAGCGATGCAAGGAGGAAAAAAGAAATGAGGGGACAACTATTCACCCCAATATTTACAATATGATCATAAAAATTGTATTAACGATAAATGTAAATGAAGCGCAAAAAAATATGAAATAATAAATACACATGTGGGTTACAAGTCTTAGAAAACAGTCTGATAATAAAGCAATTTCTAAACAGTTATGATTGTTGTTTTAATTGTTGGGAAACTGACAGCTTTAAACCCAAAATGACCGGTGTGGTAGATGAAGAAGACCTGGAGTCAGATATTAATTCAAAAAAAGTTTACAAAAGATAGTTTGCAGTTTCATCAGCTTCATACAATTGTACAGAGTTCATAGGCCACTCTGCTTACAATCTCAAATCAATACAATGATACAGTACTCTAGCATAACGTCACTACAGCTGCGTCATACATATATGTGTTTTACCAGATTGGTTAAAGCGTAGATAAACTTACAACCTCTCCAAATGAGTGCGTACTATTCCGAACAATATCTCCAATGATTACTTGAATCATAATAAGTAAACAAAGGTCAGACATAACAGGAAGATATTTCTGTGATCAGGATGACCAAAGGTAATTTTCAGCTCCTCTTCTAGTGAGATGGGTCTTGCTGCAGACCTGGTGCAGTGCAATCTGGGTTCAATCCAATGCTTTTTAATGGGCTCACCTAAACCCACCCCTAATCCTATCCGTCACAGTGACATCACTAGCTCCATTTGAATGCTTTTTGTCTGACATTGCATCGCTGAGTGATGCAGTCTCAGCTTGCATCATAAAGGCTGCATCCAGATACTATTGCTTTTAGTCTCCTCCGAGGAAGAACACATACATACACAAAGGAAACCTATCTACATCAAGGTTGTCTTGCTCTTATGCAATCATCTTATCAGAATGGTACAATAAACACCTTTCCACTGGCAGCTTACTAGTACATACAATCACCAGCCACTTTAATAGGTACACATGTCCAACTGCTTGTTAACGCAACCTTTAATTAGCCAATCACATAACAGTAACTCAATGCATTTAGGTATGTAGGCATGGTCAAGACGATCTGCTGCAGTTCAAACTGAACATCAGAATTGTGAAGAAAGATGATTTAAATGCCTTTGAATGTGGCATGGTTGTTGGTGCCAGATGGGCTGGTCAGAGTATTTTAGAAACTGCTGATCTACTGGGATTTTCACACACAACCATCTCTAGGGTTTACAGAGAATGGTCCAAAATGAGAAAATATCTAGTGAGCGGCAGTTCTGTGAGCGCAAATGCCTTGTAGATGCCAGAGGTCAAAGGAGAATGGCCAGAGTGGTTCCAGCTGATATGAAGGCAAAAGTAACTCAAAAAAACACTTGTTACAACCGAGGTATGCAGAAGAGCATCTTTGAACTCACAACAAGTCGAACCTTGAAGTTGGTGGACTACAGCAGCAGAAGACCACACCATGTGCCACTCCTGTCAGGTAAGAACAGGAAAATAATGGTGCAGTTAGAAGATTGGACAATAGAAGTTTGGAAAAACATTGCATGGCCTGATGAGTCTTGATTTCTGTAGCAACATTCGGATGTCAGAATTTGCCATTAACAGCATTAAAGCATGAATGCATCCTACCTTGTATCAACGGTTCAGGCAGGTGGTGGTGGTGTTATGGTGTGGGGGACATTTTCTTGGCACACTTTGAGCATTGACCATCAGTACCAAATAAGCATCGTTTCAACACCACAGCCTACCTGAGGACTGTTGCTGACCATGCCCATCCCTTTATGACCACAGTGTACCCATCTACTGATGGCTACCTCCAGCAGGATTACATCACATGTCATAAAGCTCGAATCATTTCAGATTGGTTTCTTGAACATGAAAATGAGTTCACTGTACTCAATTGGACTCCACAGTCCCGATATCTCAATCCAATAAAGCATCTTTGGGATGTGCTGGAATGGGAGATTCTCATCATATATGTGCAGCTGACAAATCTGCAGCAACTGCGTGATGCTATCATGTCAATATGGACCAAAATCTCTGAGGAATATTTCCAGCACCTTGCTGAATCTATACAACAATTGATTCTGAATGCAGTTCTGAATGCAAAAGTGTGTCCAACCCGGTACTAGTAAGGTGTGCCTAATACAGTGGCAGTAAAAAGTAATAAAGTAAAATCAGAATCTTAAAGGGTTCCCATTTCTTCATAATGATCATTCATTTAAATGCATTATTTAAACATTTAAGCACTGTCCAGCATTAGGCTGTTAGTAACTGGCTCACACTGGGGTTTTTTGTGTGACAATATGGAGGAAGATATTGTGCTGAGGGAAATTACATTGATGTAATGATGAACTATGAATGCAGAATGTTAAGGGTGCTGACTCTCTTGGGAAAAGTTTGATGGCATTTCCTTTTTCCTTATGTTCATTCACTCATTCATTCATTTTCTTTTCAGCTTAGTCCCTTTATTAATCAGGGGCCACCACAGCGAAATGAACCGTCAACTTATCCAGCGTATGTTTTATGCAGCAAATGCCCTTTCAGCTGCAACCCATCACTGGAAAACACCCATACACTCCTGCATTTACACACATACACTACGGCCAATTTAGCTTATTCAATTTATTTAGAGCGCATGTTTTTGGACTGTGAGGGAAACCAAAGCACCCGGAGGAAACCCACGGCAACACGGGAAGAACTTGCAAACTTCACACAGAAATGCCAACTGACCCAGCCGGGGCTCGAACCAGTGAGCTTCTTGATGTGAGGTGATTGTGCTACCCACTGCACCACCGTGCCGCATTTCTTATGTTCATATATTGTAATGAAGTAGAGATTTGTGCACAATGGTTATGGGGAATTAGCTCTGTTTATATATTATACATTTATGTACAAATGCTGCATATTGATCATTGTTTTGTTTTCTGCATTAACATATTTAGACATTTGGACAGTTGACAAAATTGATTTTTAATACATGAATAATTCTAAAGAGTATAATTTATGTGAAATTTTCATTATTTGTAGCTGTAAATATTTTCTGTCACTTTTGATCAGATGTATCAAGTAAGTAAGAGTATTTATTTCTTTGAAAATAAAATAATTGTAATGGAAACATTTGGAATATAGTGTGCCATTTTTATTGATTTAGTGTTTGATGTTGAGCTACTGTATAACTATGTGGGACTACAGTATGTCATCAATTATCAACATTAACAATGAAAACTAATGTTAATAAGTCAGCAAATTCAAGCTGAGCTTTATGCAATGCTTTCACTGTAATGCGCACCTTTTTTTATTTTTATTGTAAATATGCACAAACTTAGTACAAGAACATACGTCTCACAACAATTATGAACGGATAAAACAAAAAATAAAAATGAGAGAAATTATATACAATCAAAGTACAAACAGATGACAGAGGTAAAAAATAATATATATATATATATATATATATTATTTAATCAAATAAAATTTACATAATTCTTCGTATGTTTTTTAGCTTTTCTGTTTCTAATGTAGGCGACGCAGTGGCGCAGTCGGTAGTGCTGTCGCCTCACAGCAGGAAGGTCGCTGGTTCGATCCTCGGCTGCGTGGGTTTTCTCTGGGTGGTCCGATTTCCCCCACAGTCCAAAAACATGCAGTACAAGTGAATTGGGTTAGCTATGTGTGTATGAGTGTGTGTGTGAATATGTGTGTGCACTCAAAAAAATGAACTTTCCCTATTGTTAGTTTTACTAAACCCATCCTTGTTCACATTACATAAAACATAATAGTAATTAAATTAACATAAGTTTACCATGTTATTTCTACAAAAATGTAATACTGTAGGCTTTACTTAATAAGGGTTTGACAGGCCAACTTAACATTGTTGAGTAAAACGCAAAAACCTCTTAAGATTGGATATTTGCTGATACCGTCGCTGCCTACCTGGAGGCGGAGCAACGGAACAGTCAGAGAGAGGAACATGTGAAGCACATGAGGAGGAGAAGATGGTGGCTTTGTCAGGTATGAGTTTTTCATTAATCTTTAGTGTTAAATATCACCAGGAAAAGTGATGTGAGTGTTCACAGAATTATGTTAATTTATTATATCAGTGTATTATGGAGTCTTTTGAATTTTAGCATTTTTAGCCTGTTATACTGACTCGTGTTTCTCAAGGAAAGCATGTGGCAGTGCAAAGACTGCAAAATAACCATCACAACTAGATCACAGTTGTTGAAACACTATAGATTAGTGCATAGACATTGTGGTCGCGGTATTCGTTTTTCATGCACTTATTCTGAATGTCGCTGTAGATTTAAAACGTGGAGTGCACTACACAGCCATCTTAATTGTAGCCATGCAAAGGAGAACACGGGGTTACCTGCAAGTGTAATCACATTCAATTGCCATGTGTGTTCTTGCAGCCATATAGACTCAGAATGGGAGTATTTTAGTCATATCTATAAGAACCTGAAAACAATGAGACAGTACTTTGTATGAAAGCTATTCTTACTATAATCCTGTGTCTTAAATTTACAGATTGCTGCTGAATTCAGTCGAATCACTACTGTCCCACTAATTCAAACATTTTTCAAAACTGGATGGTTACACCAGCAAGCTGGACAGCATTTACCGTACAAAAGAAGAAATTGCAAAACGAAAAATTTGAAAACTCATGGCTACCATCGACAAGGTTTGTTATCTGTATTTATGATGCTTGTAAATAATTTCCACTTTAGTATGGTGTTTTTTTCATTGTATAAACCTAATGTCTCTTCTACAGAATGATGCCATCTCAACTTGGAGAGCTTGCATTCTCAGAGCACTTTCTGTGTATCTTAATGAAGACTATTAAAACCTCATGAAGGAGTATACAGTAAGTATAGTTCTCAGTCAGTTAATATTTAAAATGCCATCACATGAATTCACATAATATAGTCAAGGAATATCAATACACAAAGTATATTTACCTTGGGGTTGTCAAAAGAACAGACTTCAGCACCAGTCTGCACTGAAATAAAAGATTGTTATGATGCTAGCATTTTTCTGGGGAAATCTTGAGCACAGTCGAGCAGATTCTCAAGCATATTTGTCTAGGCAGATTAAGGTGGCAATTATCAGTGTTGCCAATCACAGTCACATCTGTTGAGCACAATAACACTGGCCAATTGAATTTCTTTGAAGGAATGATGATTTCTGCACATTTTTTAAAATTCAGTACAGAAGCCTGTACTTTTGACCACCCTAACAAACACAGTAAAGTAGTTTTGTAAGTCACTGCAGGTGCGTGATGTGAAAGATTAAGGAATGGACAGTTGATACAAAATTCTTTAAATTTACAATCTGTATTTTTGATGTAATTAAACTGAACAGTGATACTGTTTTTGTGTTTTGTAGGTGACAGACTTTGAGAGAGACATGGCAAATACTGTCATTAAAATCTACATCGTTAAGCCTGAAGGTTTAGAAGTCTGTGACCCACCATCATTTGCTGGACTGATTTTTGAGGGAGTAAAAGTGCTTCAGAACCTTGGCGATGTCACCAAGGCTTGTTCTCTTTCTTTGAGAGTCAAATACAGCGTGAATCTCAGTTATCCTTCAGACCTGAAATACACTTTTGAGTTTTTCAGAAAGTGTTGCTGGGACTTGCACATAAACTGTCACACAAAATACAAGTTCTCAAAAACAAACTTGTTGGCTGAATCAGTACATCATTCTGGACGAATGAAAGAAATAGAGGAAGAAGCTTTTTTGAGACACTTAAATTGTTTCTAGTTTTAAAATTAAGGGCCAATTTTAAAGTTATCTATAACGATGGCACCAAAGTTTTAAATGGAGTTCTACATCTTTAAATGGTTATAATTGTTTGATTATTTACAAAGATTCAGATTTTCAGTTTTATTCTTTTCTTTGCTTTTTTTAAATTCTTATGCTGCTTGTCTTAAACTTTCCTTTTCTTGTTCAAAGTAAAATTTATTACTTGCAGTTGCACATATTGAAAGAACATTTTGGTCAATAGTAAAACTTCTTTTATAATTTTTTTTATGTTTATTTTTTTTAAACAAGCTGTTGTTTTGTGGTGGTTTTCATAAATAAAGGTCAGTTGTATACTTTAACAATATATTAAACCTTTTGAAATATCAGCAATTGAGCATTGTAGCATTTTGTGACACTGGAAAAAAATGTCAAATTACTTTTGTAAATTTGCTCTTATACATTTTTCTTCCAATATTTGAAGTAGCACATTGTAAGAATGTTCACTATTGACCAAATGTTGCTTTTGCATTTTTTTCTTTCTTTTTGTACTTTTATTTGAACTGTTTGAGAATGTTTACAAAAATAGAGGCCAGTTTTAATGTTACTCTCACTGTTGATTGTAAAGATCAGAAATGAATTTTAGCAGTATTTTAACATTCCATGTACAATATTTTTCAAAGTAAGATTATTTCAGATTCTTAAAGCCAGTTGCACTTTAAAAGACCCTGTAAATGTTAACTGAAAGCATCTGATGTTTTAGTGTGTTTGTTTCAAAGGAAATTGAAATTGTTTTATGGGTTTTTAGCAGTTGTATGTTGCAAAACATTGCAAAGAAAATAAATTCATTTTGTTTCTAAAAATATGTTTGATTATTTAAGTTTTACACTTGTAGAGCACATACATTAGAAGTGAAATATATATATATATATATATATATATATATATATATATATATATAAATAAAGTGTTCACCTTACATACTAAAAGTTCATAATTCTAACATAACATTACTAAGTAAAATATACATAAAACTAAAATGCAATAATGACACATCTAAATGGGTTGAATGTACTAAGAAATATTTTGTAAACTTTACCTGGATTTCTTTAGTTCATTTAACTATATTGTTACTTGTTGAAACTACTCAACACAGTTACGTGGAACCACTTGACACTCTTTTTTTATGTAAGTCCAACAAATCATTTTTTTGAGTGTGGAAGTTCCCCAGAAATGGGTTGCAACTGGTGCAAAAAAGTGCTGGATAAGTTGGTTGTGGCAATCCCGGATTAATAAAGGGATTAAGCAGACAAGAAAATGAATGAATGAATGTTTCTAACGTGTAGTACCATATTGTTTTAATGCGCACACCTAACACAACCCATAACCCTCACAGTGACGTCACTAGCTCTATTGAGTGCATTGTGTCTGAGACTGCATGTCTGAAACTACGTGTCTAAACGGGCATATCCAAGACTGTATCCAGATACTATTGGGAAAATAATTGATTCGACTTTTGTTCAAGTTTCAGATGTTTACTGTGTTCTCTTGCACAATAAACAGAGAAAGTAAATTTCCCCCCAAAAAACCCTCATTCATTCATTTTCTTTTTGGCTTAGTCCCTTTATTAATCTGGGGTCGCCACAGCTGAATGAAACGCCAACTTATCCAGCATATGTTTCACGCAATGGATGCCCTTCCAGCTGCAACCAATCAATGGGAAACATCTATACAAACTCATTCACACACATACACCTGGGACAATTTTAGCTTACCCAATTCACCTTTCCCAATTTGGTCTTGTGGGGGAAACCGGAGCATCCAGGAAACATGCGAACAAGGGGAGGAGAACATGCAAACTCCACACAAAACTTTCAACTCACAACACATGAACTAAACATACAGTAGGTCTATGTATATTGTAATGTGTTGTAGGCTACATGTATAGACTACTCTATAGATAAACTATAGACTTATGTTTCAATTTATATCTCTTATTTATTCATATATTGGTGAAATCTGTGATATTTCAAAAGAACAATATAATCCTTTTTAGATTCTTTAGTCTATTTCACTAATATATAGGCCAATATATATATATATTCATTGTGGAATTAGTTAATGTTGATAATGAAATGTTTTTATCATGCTGAAGAACAGAGGACAATCAAACAAATCAGAAACACAACCAAAAGAGGGCGCTATGCTGTTCCTTAGATCAGTTCTGGTGCATTACCCTACTGCTGCCCCATCAACTCATGTGTGTCCCTGGAGGGTTTTTGTATACTTGAAATTAATGATTTTTATTTTATGTATTATTTTTCTTTTTATTTGATTTATTTATTTCTCTCTCTTTCTCTAGAATATATAAAATAAATTAAATAAGCAGAACAAACTGATAATAAACATGAAGATTTTAAAACAAGATATTATTTAATTCTTTTTGCATTTGTCTTGTACATAGTAGATAAATAATTAGGTAATAACTAAGTGTAATGTAAATGTCTGCTCTATAAATTGTGTAATTTTTTCCATGTTTTAACAAACCAACAAATTAATGAAAGAAAGAAAGAAAAAAACATATAAGATAGAGATAATAAAACTGAAGCAAAAGAAAGGTGAATAAACCAGTTTATAGTAGCAACATATAAATATTCACTAATATATTCATTTAAATATTCCAAAAAATGTATTTAAGAATAACATTTTTAACAAATATTTTAAGTTATTTAAAGCTATGTTAATTTTTAATATTTAGAGCAGGACTTTCCCGCCCAACTTTTAGATGCCACAAACATTTTAATATCATTGCCCCCACATTAAAACATAAACATTTTTGTTAAAAAAAATTAAGGAAGTTACCTGAAGTTAATGTTTTGAAAACTGAAATTTTTTATTATTATATTCTTATTTGTTTTATTTTATTTTGATATATAATTTATTGTTTTATTTTATTTAAATAAAATATAATAATGTATTGTATGCTATTAAATATTTAATAATCGTTTAATTATTATGCTGTTTTATCAATTTGTTTCTGTTTCTCTTTTATTTTGTATTATAATGTGTGCTTATTATTTAAAAACTATATAGAATTATTTTAATCTTTTTAATTATTCAATTGCTATTTTTAATTATTAAAATCAAAATATTTTAATAGGTATATCACTCTCTTTTGTCCCTGGTAACCCATTCTGAAAGTTTGGCGCTAAATGAATGTTCGAAATGTTGGACTTTTCTCATAGATATTTATATAGCTATGGACTTTTATTATGAATTATCCTCTATGCTTTTTCCTGTTTAGGTCATCGTCAGTCCACTTTACGGCACGCTGTTTTCACTTTGCTGCATGCCTTTAAATACCTTCTAGTGTATTTGCTTGAATAATTGAGTTTATCTCAGATATACTCATTTCTTGTAATTTATACGATTAAAACATGAAAAATGCATTGTCAAATTTAATATAACACCATATCCGGCTTTTTAACCTTGACTGAATGGCTTATCACGCCTAAACTGTGGCATCAATACAAATACAAATTTACACACATAACGTTTAAAATATGCTACGAAATATATGTCGGTATCACACAAAGTTTGGCCAGGCAATTATTTGGCCGTTTTCATTTTCTTACGTGAAGCATGTTCCCAGTTTATCAACACAGCTACAAAAGGCAAAATATAGCAGTGCTACAGCAGGTAAGATATAAAAAGAAAAAAATAACTTAAAATGATAAACAAATATATTAATATCTTTGTACTTGCATTGTGTTTTGCAGAGAGGAAAAAGTTCTACGAGACTGTATCTATAACTCAAGGTGAAGGTGAGCATCATTCAGTACTGATGGCCATAACAGCACCTTAAAAGAAACATGTTTTCAATGATGAAGATCGAGGGTTTGCTCATATGAAAACACAGATTTTCTTGTTTATAGGTGGCTTGTTTGAAATAAACCTTGATAAGAGAAAGCTGAAGACCCCAAGTGGAAAACTATTCACAGTTCCCAATGAAGCTCTTGCCATTGCTGTTGCAAATGAGTGGGACGTTCAAAAGGACACATTGAAGTTTTACACTATGCACTTGGTAGGATATTATTTTTAATTTATATTATATTATTATTATTATACTATATTTTGGTTTCCCAAGTACTACTAGTATATTTGAAAGTTTTATTCTACAACTGTCTACAGAGTACATTCAAATGTATCTATAATACATACATAGTAGCATGGAACACATATTTTTATACACTCTTCAGAACTGAAACTTACAGTATTACAAGTCTACAAGACTAGTACCTTTATTTATACCCAAAATCTGTACTTTTTTGGTGTTTTTTCTTTTTAATTTTCTGCTGCAGACGATTCCATTCAAGAACCCCCTAAAAAGTACAGATTTTAGGTATAAATAAAACTGAAAGCTTAGTTTTTTTTTAAATTCTATTTTAATCATTTAAAAATTCTATTCAGTTAAAGGGGTAGTTCAGCCAAAAATTATAATTTGGTCAACAACAATACTCTGGGACTTTCTTTCATCTTTGGAACACAGATTAAGATATTTTAGATGGAATCTGAGAGCTCACTCACCCTTCATATAGACAGCAATGTACTTTTGTGCACACTTAAAGAAAAAATACTTACTTCATTCAGCGGTTTATCACCTCATTAGTAGGCCCACACGGAATATGCGTGTACAGAAATCTGCAGATTTCCGCAGATCTTTAGCCCATCATTCGGTGTATTTACTGTATTCACTTGTTTAATTGTGTGTGAATTTATATTTATTTAGTTTTTTTTTTTTTATTAATTTCACTAATATTATTGTGTTATAATAATAGTACTATTAAAATGTTCATATGATTTATTAACAATACAGTTAGTAATGTAATATTTTCTGTCTTTTTGTAGGTATATGATGTATTGCTTTCTTTACCAAATAGGTGGATGCAATTGGATTTGCACTGTAAACATTAAATAAAATTAAAAAATGTGTTGTTTTTTATTTAATATATTAATGCTGTAGTTATGATACTCCTAAAATCAATCTCTGCAGAAATTGCAAAAAATGTCTGCATATTGTGTCTTTTCCTATTCATTCATCTATGTTTCCATCCACCTATTTTTATGGTAATTTTGCAATATGCGCATAGAAAACCGGTTGATGAAAACGCCAAGATGCACATTTCATTTTGAAAAAGCTTAATGTGACTTTTCATTTTCATAAGGTTCCTTTTACAGCATCGATGTTTTACACTATCGATGCATTGATGACAAAACATTCAGTTAAATAGATACAAGCATTCATTTAGTTGTTCAACCATAAAACAAGATGAAAGATTGTGTAACCGCTAGCGCCATCAGGATCAGCAGGCGAGCGCAGAAACTCCTATACTGGGGTGAAATTAATTGTTATATTTTAAAGATATGACGGGGGAATAGAATTTAACGCAGTGCTTTTTGTCTGAGACTCATATATCTATATCTATCAGGCAGTGAAGGTCACTGATTAAAAAACAAACAAAAAAACTGACCTCAAACATGGCAACTTTATAATGGAAAGACGGAGGCCCTGTTAGGCTGAAATTAAAAGATTGTGTGCATATACCCCATTCTAAATAGTTATCGGTTATTGTTGTCGGTCAAAAATTCCAAATCGGTTCCACCCTATTAATAACATAATTTTCATTTTGGGGTGAACTGACCTTTTATGTAGTTAAAGATATTTGCATTTGCTCCTAGTTTTTTTTATTTATTTATCTATTTTTTATATGTTATTATTTGCATGTGTCTTTTTTCTTCACCTGGTTGTCATTTTAGATGAGAATTGGTTCTCTTAATTGATTTACCTGGTTAAATAAAGATATTTATTATTAAATACTAATGGATAATGTATCTAAAACATTGTCACAAGTACATATAAAATCAGTGTGTGTATATTCTGATAGTACATTCATTCCCAGTATTCCCAACATTCATAATGTTAAATGAATAGCAGAATCTAATAGACTGATTTCTGTCCCTACAGACCACCCTTTGTAACACTGCTCTTGATAATCCAACACAAAGGACAAAAGAACAGATGATCTCTGCCGCTCTGAAGTTTTTAGAAACAGACACTATCTGGTATGCTCACTGATTAGGTATAGTATTTCATTTATGCATCAGCTGATGGTTTTAAGGTTTCATTACATCAATTGTACCTCGCTTTGCAGTTACAGAGTAGAAGAACCTCCAGGCCTTGTGGAACTTCAGACAAATGAATGGGACCCTGTGATGAACTGGATTGAACAAAGGTAAAATTGACAGATTTTTGGTCAGAGTTTTGATTGTGTAATAATTACAAAAAGTTACAATTTACTGGTATATAAGAACGTACTGTTGTTTTTAGGTACAATGTAGTCATTGGCTCGTCCTCCAATATAATGGGCCCTCAAATCCCAGAAGAGACTAAAGAGACATTTCATCAGCACCTTAATTCCTTCAACTTCTGGTCTCTGACAGGTACGTTGGTTCTTTGTATCTCATGTAAATGAGCTTGTTTACAATAGACTTTGTGTAAATCTTATGTGAATGTGCTTGATTTTTCCTCAGGGCTTGAGTTTGTGATCAATCAGCTGAAGTCGCTGGTTTTGTCCTTTGCGCTGATTGACAGACACCTAAATGTGGAAGAAGCGGTTCTGTTGTCCAGACTTGAGGAAGAATACCAGGTATTTTGATTAAATTACTTTTAAGATTGAGACCATATTGTTCCTGTGGTAATAATTACTATACATTGTGTTCTGTCTTAGATTCGGAGCTGGGGAAATGTGGAGTGGGTCCATGATTATGACATGTATGAGCTGCGAGCGCGAACGGCGGCTGGTGCATTGTTTGTGCATCTGTCATCTGAAAAAACATCTGTGAAGAAAAAAATCTTACAAGACTGATAATGCCAAAAATAGACTGTGTGGGTCTGAAACTTTGGGAATTGTTATCTGTTTTTGTTTTTACAGTGACACTAGTTATCTAACCAGTAGTTATGTTTTGAGAAATAATACAGATTTCTAAGGTCATGATATGTATTTATAGTGTCAACAGCTATCACATGGAAACACTGTAAATGCTAAAACCCAGTATTTCAAACTCAATTTCAAAGATGTAAATGTTTAAGCTGTATGTTGGGGAAAAGAAAGAAACATTTTAATAAATTACAAAGTACAAACATCTAATTGTGTCTACGACTTTTTTCCTACACAGTTACAAAATGAAATAGTCCTCCCAAAAATAGAGTGACCAGGCATTTCTTTTTATTCCTGAGATAGTACTAGATTTCTGCTCCATTTCTAGTTTTCCAATAAAAAAAAAAGATAAAAATTGTGCCTCATTTAACATTTCCGAAAATGGCCAATTGCTGAGCACTAGTAAAGTTGTCTGTCACATAAAAAATAACATAAATCAATTGCAGCCAAACATGTCATAGTTTATTTCACAATTCTGTATTGAAGAATGTGTAGTTAGTCAAGACAGGGCCTGTGCTGTCAGGCTAGTTCTGGTGTCTGTGATTTACTATAGTTAAAGCAATTTAAAAACCTGAATGAACAAATAATCTCAAATAAACCTCAATTAATCTGTAAAACATTTTTTAAATAAACTGATGCCTCACCCATTACATTTAACTTACGAAAGTAAGTCAGAATGTATTCAAAACACATTAGCTAGCAGGGACAAGATTCATACAGTTCCCATTCAGCATTCCACTCTGAGAAATCTGGTAAAACTGGCCACAAGTAATACAAAAAAAAAAAAAAAAAAGTAAATTGTATTCCACCTCAGGCCATTAGATTTATAGCTTTGTTTTCTTCAGTACAAAAATTTTCAGCTAAAACCGGTGATTTATAACAAGCAAGTTAATAGTTACAAACACTGATCGTCCAAAAAAAAAAAAAAAAAAAAAATATATATATATATATATATATATATATTTATATATGTATATATACAGTATGTATGCAAAACCAGTGTTGGAGAAATTTACTTTAGAAAGTAATGCATTACAATATTGAGTAATGAATAAAAAGTAACTAGTTGTGTTACCTTTTATGTTAATACGTTACATTACATTTAAGCAATTTTTGCGTTACTTTTTATTACCTGGCTGAGGCTTGATCTCTTTCAGAACATGTTTGTTTCTTTCTTACAGCTACATTTACCTCTAAAAATGTTCACATAAAAATATTTTTAAATAGCTTTATCACACAGAGCTCTATTCACTTTATCAAATTAAATAAGTGTAGTTAACTCAAAATTTCAGTTAGTTATTTTTACTCATTTGAAGAGTTTTGAACTCAGTGTTGAAGGTAATAAGTTAATTAAATACTTAAACTTAGAGTAAGTTCACAGTACTCATACGGATTTTTTTTTTTCTAATATAATTTTTTCTATTTTTTTTTTTTTACTTAAATGCTTTGTTGCAATCGGTTTCCTCAAACGGTTTGAGTTGACTTAATTTATTGAGTTTTACAGTACTCAGTTGGTTTGAGTCTTTTAGTCAAATGGATTAAGTTCACAGTACTCATTTGGCTTAGTTTTTTAACTCAAATGGTTTGTAGTAAGGAGGCGCAATGTTTATGAAAAAGGGGGGGGGGGGGGTTAAAGAGCTATTTAAATGAATTAAAAAGTATCTCAAATGTTCTTACTTTTTTAGTAATGCCTTACTTTACTCGTTATTAAGAAAAGTAATATTATTACGTAACTCACGCTACATGTGCATTACCCCCAATATGGTCTAAACTAAATTGATGCCTGTGGCTCCTGATTAAACTTTGAGGTTTTATAAAGTGGTGTTATAACTACTGAACTACAAAGGACCAAAAAATTGCTTAAAATCTTTAATACCCAGCTAAAAAAAACACATCTTGAATGGTTTGAGAATGAGTAAAACCAGACATTTTCATTTTGGCCGAGCTCTCCCTTTAAGATCAAAGTCACATTAAAACATCGGTTGACCTAAGTGCATAGTCTGAAATACAATCTAATCCATAACGTAAACACCGTATGTGCCATAAAATATCAAACGTACCTGTGATAATCAAGCAAAGTCACGTAAACGGAATCACTACTGTTCCTTTAATTAGCTGGCGTGTCATTCCAATGACATACTGTGTGTTCGGCCAATACCTGCGCTGTCCTGAATTAAGCGACCAATGAGGATCGTCCGGGGGCGGGACTTTTGTGTTTACCGTCTCATTGAGTGTTAGTCGATGGGTATGTTGACAAGATGGAGTTCTTGCTGGGAAACCCATATAGTACTCCGGTGGGACACTGCATTGGTATGTTTATCAGATATTAAATCATACATCAAAATTGTGCTGTTGCAAGTAAGCTCCTGCAGAAATGTATTTTGTTGAGGGCACTTCAAAGCAAAGCTCAACATGGATAGCCAGTCAGTTAGCTAGCTAACGGCTAATGCTCATTCATGCTAACTGCTCTAACAGATAACTCTCAATGTGTTTTTTAACAAAGCAAATGGCTAAATTATTCAACGCGATTCTAGCTAGGTAAAAAAGCTGAGTTTAAGAAAGATGAAGAACTACTCTTAATTAGCAGCTGGAATTAGCCTGCTAGCAAGTGTACACTGCGATTATTTCTCACACCCAGTTTCATAGCTAAAGCCTGAAGTAATCTGTGTAAATGATTCATACTGTTGTTATAAATGGCCAGTCTGTATAGGGAAAATGACTGCAAGCAATGGAGGAGAACCAACATCACGTATTAGACAGGAGTTTGCAGTTCAGTGCGATGTCATCAGTGCCGATGTCACTCCAGATTCTGCTGGGCAGTAACCTTATCAGTTTACCTTTTGCTCTTCCCTAGAAAGGGCCACAGATGGCTCCCTGCAAAGTGAAGACTGGACTTTGAATATGGAAATATGTGACATAATCAATGAAACAGAAGATGGGTAAGACATGAAAGATTTTGGTTTATATCATTTAACAGGCTGAATAAAATAAGTTCTGGCTGTTGGGTCAAAGACAAGACGTCATTCATATTGGTGCTTACATAAAATAATAATCATTTAAAAAGTGCATGCATATGTTGTAATTTTTTGTTGTTGTTGTTTAAACAACCATTCTGTGTATTTTGTTAGACAAACCAGAACTTTTTGTAGCACAACATATTTTCTTGTTTTTCAAAAAAAATGTTTACAGGGTTTATGCGGTCATGAAAAACCTGGAAAAGTTATGGCATTTTGACATGGCATTTTCCAGGCCTGGAAAAGTTTTGGAAAAACAGAAAAACCCACAGAATTTTGCAAAAGTCATGGAAAACATATCTGTATTTTTGAATATTGGTTAGTTGTCTATGCTGTCCTTAGCCAATCATATACTCTCACATTATTAGTGGGGTGTAAGCATTATCTAAATTAATTTTAGATTTAAATCCCGGCATTGAAACTTACTAATGACTTGCTTTTTCAGCGGCATGGATAAGCTTTTTGTAACTTGTTCATCTGATTAATAGGCCTAAGGATGCAATGAGAGCTGTGAAGAAGAGGCTTAATGGGAATAAAAACTACAGGGAGGTGATGCTTACATTGACGGTGAGGAACATACAATGCAAACTTGTTCTTACAAACTTTGGATCATTTATAGATTGTCTTGTTTATTTTGATTTTCAGGTTCTTGAGACATGTGTAAAGAACTGTGGCTATCGTTTCCACATGCTTGTCACCACCCGAGACTTTATTGATGGCGTGTTGGTGAAAATCATATCTCCCAAAAATAACCCACCCGCGATTGTTCAGGACAAAGTACTTGCTTTGATACAGGTAAAGATCTGGATTTTGTTTACATTTTAAAATCGTTATTTTAAGTGAAGGGTTTAGTTCCATTCCAGAAGGAAAATGTCCTGAGCATTTACTAAATTATCATTTTCTTTCTTTCTTTCTTTCTTTCTTTCTTTCTTTCTTTCTTTCTTTCTTTCTTTCTTTCTTTCTTTCTTTCTTTCTTTCTTTCTTTCTTTCTTTCTTTCTTTCTTTCCTTCCTTCCTTCCTTCCTTCCTTCCTTCCTTCTTTCCTTCCTTCCTTCCTTCCTTCCTTCCTTCCTTCCTTCTTTCCTTCCTCCCTCCCTTCCTCCCTCCCTCCCTCCCTCCCTCCCTCAAGAAATTAAGGTTTTGGAGTAAACATTCAAAGATTTTTTTCTTCATATAGTGGACTCCTATGGTGCTCAGTAATAATAATATATGGTGTCAGTAATAATAATATTAATAATAATGTATGGTGCTCAGTAATAATAATATATGGTGTCAATAATAATAATAATAATAATATATGGTGCTCAGTAATAATAATATATGGTGTTCAGTAATAATAATAATAATAATAATAATAATAATAATAATAATAATAATAATAATAATAATGTATGGTGCTCAATAATAATATTAATAATAATAATAATAATATATGGTGCTCAGTAATAATAACATATTGTGCTCAGTAATAATAAATATAATAATAGTAATAATAATAATAATAATAATGTATGGTTCTCAATAATAATAATAATAATAATATATGGTGCTCAGTAATAATAATATATGGTGCTCAGTAATAATAATAATAATAATAATAATAATAATAATAATAAAGTATGGTGCTCAATAATAATAATAATAATAATAATAATAATAATAATAATATATGGTGCTCAGTAATAATAATATATTGTGCTCAGTAATAATAAAAATAATAATAGTAATAATAATAATAATGTATGGTTCTCAATAATAATAATAATAATAATAATAATAATAATATATGGTGCTCAGTAATAATAATATATGGTGTCAGTAATAATAATAATAATAATAATAATAATGTATGGTGCTCAGTAATAATAATATATGGTGTCAGTAATAATAATAATAATAACAATAACAATAATAATAATGTATGGTGCTCAGTAATAATAATATATGGTGTCAGTAATAATAATAATAATAATAAAAATAATAATAATAATGTATGGTGCTTAATAATAAGAATAATAATAAAAATAATAATAATAATATATGGTGCTCAGTAATAATAATAATAATAATAATAATAATAACAATAATAAATATAATAATAATATTTTGTTTTAAGTAATAATAAAAATATATAGTGTTCAGTAATAATAATAATATATGGTGCTCACTAATAATAATAATATATGGTGTTCAGTAATAGTAATGATATATGGTGCTCAGTAATAATATATGGTAATAATAATAATATAATAATAATAATATATATTTTTATTTGAAGAGCAGTTTTCTTAAATAAAATGCAACTCGAGAAGTGTTTCACAAGCATACGCAAATATTAAAACCAGCATCAACCTCAGGTACTCGAATATAGAAATGGATATAAGCAAATACAGAAAGCAAAATAAAAAGAAAGCAACTACAAGCAATTATTAAGAACAAAAATAGACCACAAATTAATCGGCAGTAGTGTGAAATTCCAAACTGAAGTTTCAATGCTTTTTTTTAGGACTCTACGCTATTTCAGCTAGTAAGTTGGCATCTTACCCAGGAAAACCATTGGTGATTTTCTTTAAAAAAGTAACGATAAAACAGACCGCATATATCCTTCCTGCTCAGCATTGAAACTTCAGTTTGGAAGTTAAAACCACTGAGCACCATACACGTCTTCTGTATGGAAAACAATCCTGGAATGCTTTTCTTAAAGAAAAAAAAAACATCAATTAATATCTTGGATGTCAAGGGAGGTGAGTAAATTACCAGGACATGTTTTTTTCTGGAGGTGAACTAATCTCGAAGTATGATATATGAAGGGATGTTGATGCCTTGTGGTTTAAGCACAATATGAGTCAATGAAATGTATAACATGAACATTTAGAAAAGAGAAAGAACCATTGATGGAGAAAGAAGAGGTGCACTATGAGGATGAAGGTTACCTGATGCTTGGTAGTCAAGGAGATCTGGCTAATTCATTGGCACTGAAGTTGTGCTCATTACAATCTAGTAGATCAGGTTACCATGTTTGGCTCAAGTGACCAAAGGTAACTTCAGTTTGATTGGTCTTGCATTTTAACTTGTTGCCAGAAATGTGTTTGAATTTAAATATTGTTTTGGCCAAAGAGAACTGGGTTTTGCTTTGCATTTGTGTTTGACATTCAAACGACTTTAAGTCAGTCGATTTTAATGTTTAATGCTTAATTTTAATGCTTAGAAGTTTGGGGCGGGATCCCTTTAAATTTAAGTGATTGAAGAAATTAAATACTCATTCAGCAGGGAAATGTTAAATGGAGAGTTCGCCCATCGTTTACTAACTCTTCACTTCTTTTAAACATTTTTTCCTTCTGTTAAACACAAAAGAAAATATTTAAAATGTTGGAAACCTGTTAACATTGACTTTCATAGTAGGAGAAACAAATACCATGGAAGCCAGTGGCTACAGGTTTCCAACATTCTGCAGTATATCTTCAAGTTCAACAGAACAAAACTACTCAAACTGGTTTGGATCAAGTCAAGGGAGAGTAAACAATGACAGAATTTTCATTTTTTGATGAACTCCACTTTAAAGTTGTTCAAAAAAAAAAAAAAAAATATATATATATATATATAAATAAATATATATATATATATATATATATATATATATATATATATATATAATTATGTTCTTTTGAATTTTAATTAATGAATCCTGAAAAAACATTTTTATTTTACAAAATTACTAAAGGACCCTAACTGTTTTTAGCTTTTAACATTTAAATTAAATTCATGTTCATTTATAAAGCGCTTTTACACTGTAGATTGTGTCAATGCATATTGTCATATATTAAGGAAGGCTGAAGGTGACACTGAAGAATTTATTTTATATATTTTAAATTAGGGCTGCGCGATTTGGGGAAATATCTTATCGCAAATATTTATTTATTTATTTTTGACATATTGCTATTACTATTTGATTTGCGTTTTAATTTTGTAGTAAAGCTTCAGCTCAATAATCTGCAGTAAGTCGTGTCAACAATTATGCGACAGCTCTTAAAAAATGACCTGTTCTTGTTTAGTGTTTGTGACTTATTCCCATATTACCAATGCTGTTTTTCTTTGATATTAATATTAATGTTTCTGAAACAGCAGACACCATTATGCCACTCGTTTGTATTCTCTGTTTTTCTTTATTTTTTGACATTCCGCATGGGGGTTTGGTTGCACAATTCTGATTGGGCAGAACGAAAGTATGCTCACTCAATTGTCTAGTAAGAAACTGTCAACTACTCTGTAGGTAATGCATTTGAGTTTAAGCGTACTACTCGACTTCTAAAAGTGCGTTCTATACAGAATGAAAGTGAGAAGTATGAATGGAACTCGGACATACTACACAGCCCTATATACTTTGCATTGTTATTTTTAATATTTAATAATGTTTTATAATATTACTGTTTCACTTGATCAAATATTATTTACAATAACAAACAAAAGCCCCAAACGTTTACTGTGATATTAACAAGGTATTAAAAGTTCAAATCAAGAAAATCTGAGCAGGTGAACTTCCATTCCTACAAATCTTTTAAAGTTTACTGCAGTTACCAGAGCATGTTTTAAATGGCAAGTTTATTTTTAAATAATCATGCATTTGTATGTATTCTGTATTTCAGGCATGGGCAGATGCCTTCAGGAGTAGTCCAGATTTGACAGGAGTAGTCCACGTCTATGAAGAAATGAAAAGGAAGGGTATAGAGTTTCCTCGGTCTGAATTGGAGACCCTGTCACCCATTCACACACCACAGCGTGTAAGTTTTGACGTCAAGTATGTTACGGTTTGTTTGTCACCATAGTATTAGCAGCTCCATCTGAAATATTACATCCCTTATCATGTACTTATCTTTATCTCTTTACCTTTCCAGTTTATCTCTGTATTTATGCTTATTGTCCTGCTCTGTTTATAATAGCAGCAAACAGCTCCAGAGATGGACCAGCAGAAATACAGCGCCCCAGTCCAGCCCAAGCCACAGCCTCACCCTGCTTCCGCTCCACCCTTCACTGCTCCTGTGGCCCACACTTCCCCACAGATGCCCAATTTGCACATCGCAGGGCCCATCAATCCTTCTCCTGAACAGGTATTGAAGCAAAGACCTTTTTTTTAACTGTCTGGATCATAATTGTTTTCTAGGTGTGTATCAGTTCACAATTAAGTGGAGATAAAAATGAAATTTTATTTTCTTATTTATTGACTTTTTCAGAAAAGATGTAATCTTTACTGTTCAAAATGTGATGGAATCTTAATTGTGTGGGAGTAGAAAAGTGTTCTACAAGGCAACAGAGAACAGCAGGGAATTTTAGCATGAATAAAAATCACAACTAAAATTTCTGAAGCTTACAGTAGTCGAAATCAACTAAACAGTGAACAGATCCTTGTTTATGATCAACTTCAGCACATTCCGTACACGCCACAGGATATCAATAGTCTCTCACGGGTCATCACTGGTCTCTCGTTCTGCTCTAGTGGTCTAAATCCATTACTTTTTCAGTCTGTTTCACAGTTTACACTGTCTTGCTTTTTATCCATTACTTTTTTCTAGAGATTTTTGTTTAATTCAGAAGTCTGGACTAGGGATGCTTAAAATAATCGATTAACCGTTAACCGAAAGGGTGCGTTTGTAACCGATTAATGCTATCAGTTAAACGTTTAAAAATATTATTTTATATGTTTTTAGTTTGACTGCATAAGGGGCCGATTGAATGCGCCTTTGCGTTAAGAGGGGCATCTTTTGCACGAGGCTCATCCCAGAGCAGCAGTTTAGATTGTCAAGACAACTATAGAGAACTTTTAAAGAGCTTGGTTTCCGCTATACATTCATTCTTCCATGGCGGGGACCAAAGTCCATCCCGCCACGGCTACATTACCCATTCAAAACATCAGTTATTGTTGTTGTTGTTTTTAATAGCGGATTATAATCGCATCAAAACGTATTAAAAGGTAAGTGAAATATAACAGCGCAAACTTTTCTGTAACCGTATAGTGCTGTGCGCTATTGTTTAATCCTTTGGGGTTACGTGCTGACTGACTGACAGGTGCGCGATGCGTGAGGCCAGCAAACAAGATGAAGCTTTCAGTTAAGATGAACACAGTTTCTATAGTTATACTTTATTTATAGATAAAGGTATATGGCTCTGCATATAATCACTCTGTCTTGCTGGAGTTTATAGCCGTTTCGCTTTACTTCAGGACGCATTTACACCGCTCTGAAGGTCTAATCGCTGTTTTAAGTTATCCAGAGCTGTATGAATGTATAAATCTTGAATTTCATAATATTATTAAAAATTACAATTTTATCAACATATACAGCAACACTTTTGCACAATCGATACCCAGCTGATTCAGTCGTTTCATAAGAGGACCGCGCTTCTTCTCTTCTTTTTTCCTTGTCAACATAAAGGCAGTGAGGTGCGCTACACATTATTGGAATGGAAAAGCACGTTAGCTGTGGTCGGCCACTTGTTCAACTGCAAGACATACTTAACTTGCGGGACGATAACGTATAACCCGTGGCTACAGAAACATTTGCCAAAGAAGCAAAATGGAAGAAGAATATTGCCTGAAACAGACGTGCTGATGCCAAAAAAATCGCTGATGTTGACCTGGATCTGCGTAATAAACGCAACAAATAGGCTTTACCTTTTATTTTACAGCTTATTAAGCATGTATGCACATTAATGCAATATCATATTTAAACAACAAAACTGTTTACAAAAAGTCAACATATGCGCGCGTTGTTGTCTTTTCATCATGCAGCGCGCACTTGAACCGTGATGAAGAGAAAGGTAACCATCAAGACATAATCTTTGAAATAATAATTTCTATTAAAAATGTAAAAGGTTTTGTAATTATAATAATACAAGTGGGGCATTAAATAAATGCATATTTTCCGTGGAGCAAGCGATTAGAGGAAGTCAGCTATTTTTATTTGACGGAAGAAAAAAATATGATTGGAAAAAAACAGTCTATGCCGGTTATTAAAAAGAATCAGTCAGTGTTTTCGATTTGCAATATAAATTAATTATTTAAGTGGAAAATAATTTAGGGCAGTCCTATTTATTTTATTCATTTTATTTAGTTTATTCTGTTCTTCTGTGTGTGAAAATGCTCTGTTGTTATGTTCTGTTATTAATATGCTAGCATATAAAATAAATCAGTATTTTATGCAATATTTAATGTGTCAGACACAAAATAGGCACGTCAATTTGTTTAATATAAAATTAATAGTAATCTGACCGGTTAACCGTTAGTAACCGATTAATGAGTGGCGGTTGTCGGTTGGCAAAATTAACCGAACTGAGCATCCCTAGTCTGGACTAATTGTATTCAGCTTCAATTGACTGCTTTACCTTTTGTACTGTGTTATTGGCTCTTTGTCCTGCATGAAAGTTGCTGGATGATTGGGCAATGGAAACAGTTTGGGGAAAGAGCTTCTGGTAAACATTTGCATTTATTCTGTCATGAATCTGTATGAGACCAAACTCCTGCTGATGATAACAACGCCAAACCATTTCCCTCTTATACACTTTGGGTTCAGTCTCACTAGTTTGATGATAAATGTTTTCTATTGAAGCCAAACACATAAACCTGCTTTAAATCACCAAAGTGAACTCTAGAGCACTTTTCTGTCCACACTAGGTATAGGCCGGTATAAGATTCTGACGGTATGATAACCTTGGATAATAATATTATGGTATCACGGTATTGTAATTACTGGTCTAAAATATATTCTTTTTAAATGTCTGAGTAAAAAACAAAAACTTTTTTCCCATTTGAACACAATTTTTTGGAAGATTTATAGTATTTTAGAGCAGTAAACGCATCAGGCTAAATAATTCAAATAAATTATTGACTTCTGCTGTCTTCATTTGTTTCAAAAACACTGTCTTTACAATTTAAAACAGCATCTTTGGATATTTTTTCTGCTGAAGATACTGTTGTTCTAAAAAAATAAAAAATAAAAAAATAACAAAAAAAATCTTACACATACTTTAGGAACGGTATTACAGAACTCTTTGGCAGTTTTAAAACCTTGACTTTTCCAAACTGGTATACCTTAAAAGTGGTTATTGTCCCATGCCTAGTCCACACAACATGCCTTTCAGCAAAGGTTTATTTAGAAAGTTCATTTGCAGAGATGGCTCTCAGTTTCTCTTATATACAGAAATATAGAATAATCTCTTTGGCCTTCATCTGGATAACCTACTGTTTCAGTCACCTTTTTGCAATGTCAATGAAATAATGGAAAGTTAAGCAGCCAGTTAAATAGGGTCCGATTAAAAAAGGAAAAAAAAACAAAAACATAATTTGTTTGTCAGGTAATCAAGATCCTAGATCAATGCCAACAACTCCAATATACTGTATATGAAAGTTAATTTTAAAAAAATGTAAAGGTTGTTTATTTTGTGCTTCAGATTGTATGCAAGTCAGGATAGGTTGGGTTAACTTCAAAAAGGATCAAGCAGTGACTTCAAAATTGTGAAATTATAAGTTCTCTTGTATTATAGGATTAATTTCGGCCATCACTGTAGATCACAATAATACTAAAATTATTGCATAGTGACAATATACATGATGTATGGTTCAGCCAAATGTAATGCCAAAATTATCATTATCAAATAATTGTCAATTTAATGAACAGTCCTTTGTGCTGTTTGAGAAGTAGGGCTGGGAGGTATGTCCAAAATTTTATTTCACGGTAACGATTTTTTTATGATATAGTTTTTTATAAAGGTAGTTATTTCAGAAAATGTACAAAAGGGCTTTATATAATAAATAAGCTTGAATATTTAAGAAAATGACCTTGTAAATATAGCAAACAAAATACGGCTTTAGACGAACAACAAATTCCACTGAGTTTTTTTGTGGACAGACCTTATGATTATAAATAAGGTGACATCTTCTCACAGATATTCTAAGTAATATATATTTAAAGTAAATATATCTATAAGTAAGTATATCTATATATCTATAAGTATATCTAATATATATAAGTAACAGAAAATGAAAACTTAAAAATAATAAATAAATATGTATACAGTTTAGGAAAATATCAAACTTTTTCCTTCAAAAATATAAAATATAAGCAATTGCCGACTTGGCAACACTGCCAGTTTCCCATGGAGCGTCTCAACCCCAAGCATGCTTTATGTGAGTTGGCCATGCCTATTCATTTACATTTCATGGTGTACATGGGGAAAAAAAATAATAATAATAATAATAAAATATATATAATAAACAATATATACCGTCATACTGCCCAGGTATGTTTTGAAAGAAAAAAATAAACAGGCATTGTTTCTATATTGTTTTGTGAGGTCATTCTCACATATTTAAACAATAAATGAAAAGACATTTTGCAACACCCATGTTGTTTTCATAGGTTACATATTAAATAATATCATATCATTACTTAGATTTGCAAGCTGCGCAGTGAGCTGGACATCGTACGTGGGAACACTAAGGTGATGTCAGAGATGTTGACAGAGATGGTTCCTGGTCAAGAGGATCCTTCCGATCATGAGCTTTTGCAGGTTTCTCAATCAGATTTCATTTTTTAATTATATATTTATATACATATAACATTGGTAGTATCTTGAAAGAGCTGCAGAAGGCCACTAGAGGGAGTATGTTGACTATTTGTGTTCTACATTTTGCCTGTTTTGTTGAAAGGAGCTGAACAGGACGTGCAGAGCTATGCAGCAGAGGATAGTTGAGCTCATCTCACGCGTTTCCAATGAGGAAGTCACAGAGGAGCTCCTGCATGTCAACGATGACCTCAACAACATCTTCCTGCGATATGAGAGGTGTGATTAAACACAATAGCTTTATCTTTTCTTTTTGATTTTGCAACATTTGCAACAATGAAATGTAGGAGGTTTTGGTCCTTTCTCAGAAGGTCCAAAGATCCCAAAAGGTCATAAAGTCATGAATTCATATCCATTAAATGGTTTATATAGATCTTTTTGGACTTTATGGTTTTTGTTGTCCATATTTTGAAACAATTGTGAGAAAAAAAAAGTTATTTAATCGTATAGAGCCGCACATATATTTGATACTCGAGTTTCTAAGACCTATATAATATCAAGCTGATCAATACTTTGTTTAAAAACCTGTTATATATGATTTGATAAAAGGTAACTGATAATAACTAAGTGAAATACTGCCTGAAATATACTTTGTTGTGAAAATGTCAAGGGAACAATACATTTTTTCTCAATAAAATTAACTTGTTGGGAGCAAAAAGTTACAAACAAAATAAATATCATGAAATGTACATGACAAACATTTGTTTGTTTGCTAGGTGGTTTAATAAATATGTCAGTTCCAGAAAATTAGTTTTTTTCTCCAAATGTTCAAAAGCTCAGGTCTTACAAGGTTAAAAAAATATATATTTTTTGCTTTATAGTTCCTTTCTGGACAAAAATCTTAAACTTTTTATTAAAATCTTTTAAAGTCAGTTTACCAGAAGGGCTTTAGTAGTTTTCTTAGGAGTTAAAACAGACTTAATAAAAAGTGAAAAAATAAGTCATCTCCTATGAACAATGTTTATTGACGTAAAAGAAGAACTTTAAATGGCTCCAGAGTAGGCCACCGGTACTAAAGGGCTGGTTAAGGACAGTCAAGAAAATCAGTGGGACGGAAAAAGTAATATCAGAATGTGTTTGATGACCAATGGAAACCTTTAACAGAAGAACTGGGTGAGATGTGGAGGAGAGGTTTATAAACTGTAAGATAATGTATATAAAATCTAATTTAAAAAACAATTATTATTATTATTTTTAAAGTCATTTGAAGCCATCTGAAGCTGTTCTAATGTGATGTTGTTTCTTAATCGTCCCTATATTGTAAAATGCTATGTGCTACTAAATTATGTACAAGTCAAAACTTTATGTATCTGCGCACAAAGTATGTGTTGGATGATGGGTTAATAAATAGCATATATACTGTGTGTATATAACATATATAATTTTTATTTATTATTATTCTTTAAACTTCAGATACACATTTTAGAATTCCTGAGATTTATATTACACTCTGTTTAATAGCATTAAATGTCCCTTTTAATTATCTCTATTGATTCTGATTGCTCGCTTTTCTGTTTTTAGATATGAGAGGTTCCGTTCCGGCCGAACTGCCCAAGGCGTAAACAATGGGGTGGGTTGTGTCTTCGTTAAGGTTTATATTAATCATTTTAATCTGTGTGTTGGCATCACTTCGTCATCAATGTGTGTGTTTTATTTATTTTTCTTTTTTTACCAAACGTGTAAGGTAAAAGGTTCATGCCAACAGCAAAGCTCAGAGTCACTCATGTAATTCCTCTTCCCCTCATTGCTTGCTTTGTGCTCTGAGAATGTTTGGAACATTTTGGGTTGTGATGCAACCACTTCCATGGTGTGTGGTTCTCAACAGAAAAAGATATGACTGCATGTTGGTGTTATTTATTGTGTGGTTTTGGTCTGTTTTGTGATTTTTGTTTTTCTTATTTTTATTTTTGTTATTGCTAGCTGAGGGAGGCAAGTATAAAAATCATCAAATCTCATTATTAATTTGACATTCAGATGGTGAAGAATGTCATTATTGGCTGGTATCGTGTTTTTGTGTTGGATGTGGCATGTTTTGACTGTAATCCTCCATTAGCATGTAGAACGCTTGTCCCACAGTCTGTGATCGTCGCTTGCTTTCCCATCCATTTAAATGTCCATCTACATGCCCTATTATTAGTTCCTCTACCTGATGTTTTAAACAATGTAGTCTTCATGGGGATTTAGGAATGCTTTTTATGTAATGGACAATGCTTAAGACAGTACAATAATTTTTTGCTATTTTAGTAGGTTCAAGGAATGCATGAAAGAAATACACTACCGTTCAAATGTGTGTAGTCATGTTTTTTGAAGCAAATGAATACTTTTATTCAGCCAGGAAGCATTACGTTTATGAACACTTTACATTGACATAAAAGACTTTTATATTATTACAGTAATGTTTAAATGTATCTGAAAACAATTTAAAACTGAGTTCTTCGGGAAATCAGGATCTCTAATGGATCATGTAGCACTGATGGCTGAATAAATGATTGCTAGAAATTCAGCTTTGATGTCTCATAAATAACTAACATTTTAAATTATGCTAAAATAGAAGTATAATATTCCACAAAACTAATCTATATTTATTTCAGCAACATTAAAAAGACTACATGCATTTTAATGGTAATGCATTTCTGGCTTGAAATGTTGAATTTTCTCGTGGTATCAAGTAGCAAAATATAGTGCTATTTATCACATAATGTAAATTATGGCATCTTACTTTATTATCTAACAGTGAGGGGGGCAGAAACCTAACAGCATGTTTCAAAAGAAGGACATAAACATCCACACACACTAAGCAATAATACCATCACTCTTGCCCAACACACCCAGGGTTACAATAAGCATTCCTGGTTGTCACTTCAACCTTTTCATTAATTCTTAGTTGCAGATTTGGGGCTTGTTTCAGTAAGGAGGTTCAACCAACTCAGAGTTTAAACTTGAGCTCTAAGTTGACTTACCGTTTTAGTTTTTGGGTTCAGAACAGCTGATCTGAGTTAGGTCAATGAAGTCTGAGTAGACTACTTCAGAGTTAAGTGAGCACACCGCGACTACAAAAAAGCATTATCAATGGAGCGCAAATATTATGAGTCACCATGGCAACATCTGTAAAAAGAGAGCATTTTTTTTCTCTAGCTGAACTTGATGTGCTCATGCAAAGTTATAGATAATGTGATCATATAAGCAACCCCACTGCATTGGCAGAACAGAGACAGTTAGCGTGGGAAAACATAGCTGCTAAAGTTTAAGTAAATATTTAAGTATAATAAAAAAATGAGTAATGTAATGTGTGACTTTATAAACTTTTCACTTGAAAAAGTGGGGAATTGGCTGTTATTTTAGTTGTTTTAGGTGTAAAAGTTATTTTAGGTGTAATTGCATTAATTGACTAAAAATAAAAATAAAATAGGCTACTGCATAGTTTCTACAACAAATTTGACAAAACAAGTATGCATTTAACCTTAGCTTAATGTTTTAATTATAATAATACATTTTATTTGTGATGCGCTTAAACTAAAAGCGCTACAAGGCTAATGCTAACAATACAAGGCAAACAGAACAGCACGACAATAAAAATTGCAATAAAACAATAAGAATATGAACCATGATATAGTATAAAAAGTTAACAAATTGATCATCCTAAGTTAAAAACAATGCTAAATGTTCAGTGGAAATGTTTAATTTAAGGTTCTCACTTTTACACTCGTTGATCAGTTTTAGATAAAAATATTTAAAAGTGCACTTGTGTGTCTGCCTTTTTTATTGATCAGTGGTAGAGGTTGATATGACATTAAGAATGTAAGCAGTACTAAAAAATAGTTTTTAGGACGAGTATTAACCCCAATTAATCTATTTACAGAACATGTCCCTGTTGAAGGTCAGTGACTTTAAACTTATTAATTAATTTTTGCATTTATATCAAAGCTAAAACGTAAAACTATGGTATTGAATCTCATTGTAATGTTCCCAAAAAAGGACAAGCCATTATCGTAACCTTGTTCTATGTGTGATAATGTAGACAATGAATGACTAAGGCTAAGGTGAGAAATACTGCTTCCTCTTTAAAAAAGGGGAGGAGACCAACATAAACTTAGAGGCTAAAACCTCAAAAAAAAAAAAAAAAAAGCTGCCTCTTTTTTAGAAGCCGACATGACTTACCCTGCTTTCTAGAGTTTGACAAACCTGCCATTTTGGAATGGAAAACCCAGAATTTTTCTCATTTTAGGGTTAGCATACTCTGTTTTCACTTAACCTTCTTGCTGAAACAGGGCCTTGATCTCCTAAAAGAGTTGGTGAAACTGGTGAAAGCAGTGTTTGTGCTACTGTACATCCCAACCATTTGAAAAGAGCCTGAAAGAGGTAAAGTTTCCTCTCTTTCAGAACAGGCTTGACTTAACCTGCTGTCTAGAGTTTGACAAATCTGCCATTTTGAAACGATAAACCCAGAATTTCTCTCATTTTAGGGTTAGCATACTCTGAGTTTTCACTTAAACTAATTGCTGAAACGAGGCTTTAATCTCCTAAAAAAGTTGGTGAAACTGGTGAAAGCAATGTATGTGCTACTGTACATCCCAACCATTTGCCTCAACTTTTAGAACTAACTGCAGGCCGGTAAAAAATAACTTGTTAAGAATGTAAACCAGTTTGATAATGTTTAATATTAATATATATTAAAACGATTATATATGAAAATAGTCCTATATAAACATGAAGGTGTCAGTAACCACATTGTATCTGTGAAATGGTGTTGTAAATCCACAGGTTTTGAATGAGGCTACAGAAGACAACCTGATTGACCTGGGACCAGGATCACCAGCGGTGGTCAGTCCCAGAATCAGTGCAACTCCTCCATCCAGTCTGCCTCCATCTGTGGCTCCAGTTCGCTCCGCCTCTCCAGTCACACTCTCGTCTAGATTGGCTGGTTTGGGTAAATGTCTTATCTGTAAATTAATACTTAAATTTATGAGAGAGGCTTATTTGGTGTTTCTGTCATAATGCTTGTTAAGCTTTGCTGTTCTTTGATTTTTTACAGACGTTGGTTCGGACAGTGTGAGCGGCACCTTGAGCTCTTTGGCCACCTGTCAACCCCAAGATGACTTTGACATGTTTGCCCAAACTAGGACTGGCACCGTTCCTGAGTGGAAAAGGTATGAAACATTAATTTCATTGAACTCAAAGCCTATAATATATGCTTATTAGCCACTTATTTGTTACACCTGGCTAATAATAAGTTGGGGCCGCGTTTTGGCTTAAAGGCATAGTATATAATGTTTATTTAATTAAAATATTCAAAAAACACTAAAATGGTATTATGTATTATGTTCTTATGTGCGTACATCAGGGGTGCTCAACCCTGTTCTTGGAGATCCGCCTTCCTAGAGAGTTCAGGTCCAACTCTTATCAAACACACCTGAACCAATCAATTAGGATCCGAACAGCACTTGGTAATTACAGACAGATGTATTTAGTGAGGGTTGCAACTGAATTCTGCAGGAATGCAGATCTCAAGGAACAGGATTGGTCACCCCTGGCATACATTATCCCAAATGTTTAAAAAAAATTTTTTTAAATAAGCAACTTTAACTAACTGCAAGCACCATAACCTTTGTGGCCTTGCTAATGACATCATACCCCCTTGATTTCAGATAAATTTTATAGGATCAGACTGTTCAAACTACAAGATCTCTACCGTCCGGTTTCAATAAAAGTGTGTTGTAAACAGGGATGGGTACCAAAACTTGGTGCTTTATCGGTATCGGTGCTACATTATAAAAGACTGGAGTATCGATAAGCTATGACGTTAACGGTTCTGGTATCGGTACTGGAGAATTATTGGCTAGAGTAAAACATTACTTGCACATGGTAAAAATTACTTACAGTAGTATAATTTAACTGACCAACCTTTTCTAATTTGCGTTATTTGATATTCGTCTGCAAAGTCTCACATGAGAAATGCTCTTGTTTCCAGCGAGTGCATCAAGTATAAAAGCCTTCACAGTTCTCGGCTGTGCGCACGCACTCAGCGGAGGCTCTCACTAAGCACACACACAGAAAGCTGTATTTACTAATGTAGCCTATGAATAGCTTAATAATAAACGATGCTTTTTAAGAAATTATTTAAAAAAACTGCTTATTTTTACATTGCAAGATGCCCCAAAACTGTATTAGATAAACAGTTAACTCATTCATGTGATTGCGTTAATGAAAAATCATAACCATTATCTCATTTAACTGCATTTTGCAAATCAAAGAGGGTGTTTTTTAATAAACCAAGAAAGATCCTCCTGACTTCTACCTGAAAAGGTTAAAAAACTGAGTCGTTTTCCTTCAAACCATTATCTATTCTTTTACAGGGAAAAAAATTATTTATTTGTTTTACAATTATTTGTTTCGTTTTATGTTACATAATTTAATAATAAAATAAATTGTTGTTATTTTGTTACATTTTTTTTGTCTTTTTTTGTTGAAAAACACTACAAAACTATTGATAAGAGAACAGATAAAGTACTGAATCGATAAGTGGTATAGATAAAAGTAGTAATATCAGTAGAATCTTAACGATACCCATCCCTAGTCTTAACCTTTAGTTTAACTATTATATTGTTTTGGATTTTATTATATTGTCATTTAACTAATGCCTTGGTGGACTTTTCAGCGCTCCATTCGAAGACACAAAGGCTTCAAGTGGAGTGGCCCCAACTTTAGATGTCAGACAACAAAACGCTACTGTGAGTTTTCTATGACTTTACTCAGTTTTTTTTTTTTTTTTTTTTTTTAAATGATACAGCTCGATGCTAAAAGCTTCAGAAAGCATATAAATTACTATAATTTTCAAAGGATGCTTCTGAAAACACTGTAGACGGTAATATGCATAATGAGTCAGATCTCAAACTAAAGAATTTGAATTTGAAGCCAGGTTTGAGATGATGATAAACACAAACATTTGGGCTTGTAGAAACTCTTTCTGGAAGCAGTACTTTTATTTACATTATATTTGCTTTTAATTATGCATTAAAATACGGATTCAGTCAGTGTAGCTCTTTTAATGTATGATGTCTTAAATGACTGTATTCTGCAGAGACAGGCTGTGCATGTGTTTGGTTTAATTTTTCATGTGTCCATTTGGGGGTGTGTTTGCTAAATATTGTTTTGATTTAAGACTTATGTTAAAGTCTTCTTGTTTTTTGTTTTTCCTTTTTTGTCATTTGTTTGTTTTGTCATGTATTCTTGGGATTTTTATGGTTTATTTGCTTGGCTCCGGCCCATGGTTTGGGTCCATAGGCAGCTCTAGACCAGTCCTCTGTCATGGATGACATTGAGGAGTGGCTCAGTACTGATGTGGTGAGATTTCCTTTTGTTTATTTTATTTCATCCTTTTTTCCTTGTTCTTCAGGACATAACCCACTTTGAAAAGAAATATGCTTTTGTAATTGCATATTCCTTTTTTGTTTGTTTGTTTGTTTGTTTGTTTGTTTGTTTGTTTGTTTGTTTGTTTTCTTTCATTCTTGGCTGACTACCTTGTACCCTCTGATTGGGGTCACTAACGATTCTCCTCTTGCGTTCCTTTTTCGTTCCTTTTTTTCTTGGATATTCTCACAGATTATTACTTAATTTTAGTATAGGCTGGGTGCATAGTGTAGATGCTTGCTTGACATGCTTTTAACGCTGTTATGGTCTATACTAATAAATGACTCTGTGGATGGTTTGTGTAATGTAATTTAAAAATGTGCTGTTAAATCAAGAAAAGTTCTGAAGTTCTATTGGCTTTTTGATGAGAAAAATAAGATTGTCCGATTTGGTTTGAGATAAGCCTGAAACTATTAATGTGCTGAAAACTTACTTTTTTATCTGCTTTCCTCCAGAAAGGAGATGAAGGTGAGGAGGGTGTGACAAGTGAAGGTATGAAGAATTACTTGATTAAAAATGCTGATTCATTTGGAACAATAATAATTTGATAACTAATAAAAGACTCAAAATACTGATTATTTTAATTTCGTTTGTATAATTTGCTGTCTTTGTCCTTCAAACCACAAGTGTTTTGACAATTTGTCAGCAAGAATTATTAATAATTGAAAATGCAATAAATTTTAGTATTGACTAGAGCTGGGCGATTTTTCCGTTTTTTTTTTTCCTCCCCAATTAATTTGAATTTAAGTTTTAAGACGATTTCATTTAGAATCAAATCGAGAAATCGCAATTTAAAAAAAAAAAATATATATATATATTTAATACATTATAATGGCACCAATGCGCTTTGGTTCACACTCTGTTTGAAGCAGAAAGCACACCAGAAGCGCCTCTCGGCAACGCGCCACGCAGCACCACGCAGCGCCATGGATTTTAGAATTCTAAACAGGTTTCTATGCACACACCGGCGCCGCCCAGCCACGATTCACGAAGCAGTTCATATTTCAGCCTTGCCACAGATCGCCATCTGATTAGTTTCATGTTAAATATCATGCGAATGTGCGCGTTTGGTGTGTGATAGTTTAAACTGTCATGTGCGCGCCGTATCGCGGCGCTTCTGGTGTGCGACCTGCTTGACTGCCTGTTAAAGCATGAAGTCATGTAGGATTTTTTTACTTGTTGCACATCTGTGTGGATTGTCAAGACATATTCCCTCATCAAGTCAATAAACTCGATCTCAACATGTATGAAGGATGTAAAAGCCTGCCATGTGAAAAACCGTGCCGATCTTTTGGTTTGAACACGAGTAGAGGTGAGGGACTGTAGCAGTGAAAATGAAAGTACCCGCCCCATGACGTCACTTAGCGGACCTAGTTAAAAACCAGACAGATTAGGCAGCATAATACAGAGAGTGGAGCAAAGCGCATCAAATGATCGGTATTTAAAAGGGGGAAAAAAGGAAAATAGATTAAATATATTATTTTATATTAGACACACATCTGGTACTTGTATTTGCTCCTGCTATATGTACACAACTTCACACATTGGGTTAAATTAGGCTTTACAGTTTCCATGTTCAGTCCTTTACTTCCACTGTATCTTTTTAAGAAAAAGGCAGCAGCTTTACAACCTGTCATTTAATGAGAAGACAAAGTCAATGCCGAGCTGACAGCCAATCTTTCCTAGGCTTAGCAAAACTTGCAAAAAATACCTCTGTATTCCTACAATTGCAATATTTACACAAATATTTCTTATTCAAATCTTCAGCAATGCTATTTAACTTGTGAATTTGTTTTACTTTTATTTACACCTTGACCGATTTTTGTATGACATGGGCATTAAAAATACAAAGTTACTTTTAAAGAGAATGTTACTTCAGTCATGTTGTTGTAATGTTTTGAGAAGACTAGTGACACAATAAAAAGAAAATTGAAATCGTGAATCGGTCAAACTTTATGAAAAACCTAGATTTTTTATTTTTTTTTTGCTAAATCGCCCTGCCCTAGTATTGACTATTAAACAAGTTCAGATCAGACTAAATATGTACAATTTTGACAAACATCTTGACGGGTGTCATTTTTGCCCACACATTTTTATTTTGACAATTTGTTAAAAACATTAAAGTCTCATCTTTTACTCATATTAGGGAAGGTAGAAGCCCCTATATTGCATTTTTAGGTATTAGATGTTGAAAGTTCAGCAGGATAATGAAAGTAAATATAAAAGTTTGTTTAAAAAAAGTTTGTTGTTATACCAAGAACTGAGCAGTTATTAAAAGAGACTTTAGTAAAAGTCAAATGCGTGTTATTAAAAGTTGACAATGTGGGACAAATATAGCATAACTTATAGATTATATTAGTTAAATGCAAAATTAAACTATTATCTGATTTCATCTGGGCAATGATTAATAACTTGCAAAATAAAAGTTTGTTTTTATATAAAATGTGTGTATTATATTTAATATGTGTATATAATTAAGAACATGTTACTATTTCTTTAGAAATCATTTTTAAAGCTGCTGTTGACTTGAAATTTTCACCAAATGTTGTTAACAACCAAAGTAATCCATACACCAAGAAAACAAAACTAAATAGTTTAGAAATGTATATAATTGTAATAAAATTAATTGGCACAGGAAAGAAGTATTGAACTCATGAAGAAAGGGAGAGGTAAATAGGGCATGGAAAGCTTAGATAGGAACTGAAATCTCTCTATTGTTAGGAATCAACCCTTAGTCTCATTGGTGTAAATTAATATCAGCTGCTTTATTCCCAACGCCTACAGTACATTGTGTCTAATAGAAAATAATCGTGACATGTTACTTACTTTACAAACTGTGTATTACACAAACCATTAAAAACATAAATATACAAAAAAAGTATTTACATAGATATTTCAATTTATATATAATATGAATTATACACATATATTTTATATCTAAATTACAATTTCTCAATATAATCTGGATTAATCATTGCCTAACACAAATGTTATACTGTAAAAGGAGAACTCAATTCAGTCCTGTGCTCTACATATACAGACACAAACTGCACTCTTTTAGCTGTTTTTGAGTTTTGAAATATACAAATAAATACATGCAAGATTATGTCAAGTATTCAAAGAAACACAGTTATGCCTTAAATTAACATAAAAAGTTGAAAAAAGATGTATATCAGTATATTGGATCTGTGCATTTGCTCTTAAAGTCTGTGTGAACTGTGTAGAGATTTTTATTTATTATGTTGATGTACTTCCAATTGAAACAGAATATTCAGTAAGGGTGGGGCGTGGTTGACATATTTGTCATCATTGGGATATAAATAAACGAAATACAATCCCATACCTCACGTCCCTTTATAAAAGCCTTATTGAAACAGTTACAAAATATGGGGAGGAAATTAGCTTCAAATGATAGAATACATAACAAAGATTAGAAAATTGAAATAAAATGCTTTATACAGAAATTAAATCAAGTCATAAAATCTCCTTTACTTATTATTTAGTGTATTTAATACTGATTAAAGTTACTATAGTTATTTTGAGAAAAGCAGCGAATGTCTCGCTTTGATTCACTGTTTTGTTTGATAACAGAGGTGTCACTTTAGGAATCCACTGATCTATAATGAAAACATTTGATTACTTCCGTAACTGTTCATGCTTATTTAAGACTAAATTATTTGTTTAAAATGAAACACGCCGGGACAGATATGTTTACATATTATTAAGTGTATTTGTCTGTTTTAAAAGGATCACCCAAATTCAAAAGTATCCACTTTCACTCCTCTTCAAATGGCATGTACAGAAGCTGATCCGAGAGCAGTGTGTTTATCGCTACGGAGTGCATCAATCAGGCAGCACCATGAATGGACTGATTCAGAGGCTGCATATAAAGATCGATGCATAGCTTTAATGTAAATGAAATGAATGCGAGTATCAGTGTTAATTTCGTTGACTTATTTTTGTCATAATTTTTCTTGACGAATAACTTTCTATCGGCGAAAAATAAATAAAAATTAAGTGATGATAAGAACTATAATAAAAATATACTGACATTTTCGTTAACTAATAAAAAAAGAGATGAGAATGTGATTTGATGGACGGTTTTTGGAAAATATCCAATCAGAATTAATCTTGGTGTGTGATGCATGATGCTCACACACACACATTTGAAAAGTAACTGCTGTACAGTAGACGCAGGATGCGATTACATCATCTTCCATAGGGGCGTTTGTCTGTTGGATTAAACTATAATGAAATGGCAACTGCTGTGAAAAAAGAACATTCTTGTTTGATATCAAGACAAAAAAAACAGTAAACAGTATGGGGAGGAAATAGCTCATAAAAACAACAAATCTAAAGCAACACCAGAATGCCAGAGAATCATCCTGAAATTTACTCGCACGTGCGTGCGTGTGTGTGTGCTTTTGCTTAACTTAAACAGTATAGCCTCTCGCTGACCATTAGACAATTGATGCCATCCGATTGTGCATTAAAAGTTTGATAGTTTGGTCATTTTCAAATGTTTATGTTCATAGCATTCATTTTCGTGAATCATTTCCTCTCATGTTTCATTTTAGCTGCGACTACAGTTTGGCTAACTCGCGTTTGGTTAGGCTAGGCGTTTCGTAAGATAACAAAACTGCCTTGAAGTGAAGTGCACCTTTATTTATTTTTTTTTTATGTGCATCTTCGCTTTAGAATTCCTCTATGTGAGTTTACACAGCCATGGGACTGAGTGCAAATTTTACAAGATAACACAATATTATTTGCCAGCCATATTTCATTACTCTACTTATTTAATCAGTGCTATAGCTGAGCACCATGACCACAATTTTTGGTCTTCTTTGGAAAAGCTATATTGCCAATTTTAATAAGATAAAAAAAAATTATTTAATTTTAAGTTAAAATATTTTATACAATATTTAAATTAAATTACACTTATTCATTCATTCATTTATTTTCTTTTCGACTTAGTCTTTTTATTAAACTGGGGTCACCACAGCAGTATGAACCGCCAATTTATCCAGCACGTTTTTTCACAACAGATGCCCTTCCAGCTGCAACCCATCTCTGAGAAACATCCACACACACTTATACACAACGGACAATTTAGCCAACTTAATACACCTATACCACATGTCTTTGGACTGTGGGGGAGCACGCGGAGGAAACCCACGCGAACGCAGGAAGAACATGCAAACTCCACACAGAAACGCTGACTAACCCAGCCGAGGCTCGAACCAGCGATTTTTCTGCTGTGAGGCGAGAACACTACCTAAATTACACCTAAATTAAAATGTTTCAGAAGACTAAAATATGACTAAAACTAAAATAGTATCTTAGTCAAAAGACTAAGACTAAAACTAAATAAACATTTGCTGTCAAAATTAACACTTGCAGCTATGTTAATATTAATTTCAACATCCTTTCAAGCCAAAATGAAGCAAAGGCTTAATTTCCTCGAACAGCTCTTTCGATTATTTCACATTTGAGATCGGCTTTTGATGCTACTTTCAGTTTCATAGAAAGATTAAAAATATGAGAGTATTACAGGAAAAATACTTAAACTGGACGATAGCGGTAAAATACGGGAGAATCCCAGCAAAAACAGGAGGATTGACTAATATCATGGTTAAGATTATTGTGGCTGATGTCAACAGAAGGACTGCCACTCCAAACGCTGAAACAACTGAGCAGATTTTGATTAAAGATCATCAAAACAAAATTATTCTGTGGATTAACTTGCACAGAGGATTTTTTTACATTACAATCAATAATGTGTGCTAGCAAAATAAAAAGTTTTTGATTTCACACAGACTTTAAAATAACTGCAGTTATTACTTAAAAAAAAAATAGAATTTCAGCTTCTTACTGATTAATGTTTGTAATGTTATTAAGCTTTAATATATATTGTATTCACAGTGCACAGCATAGTACACCCCATTTTGAAAATGATTTTTTTTTTTCCATTTCTCAGTTAATATAGGCAATGCATTTTAGTGCATTTAAACAAAACAGATTTTTAAATGGATATATTTATTAAAATTATATTTTAGTCACTAAACATATTTAGAAATTGAAAGATAAAACAATTAAATTCCAGCAAAGTGTTGCAAAAAATACTAGAAACTACAAAATTTCAACCTAATTTTAAAATTTTATTTGCTTCTCTTGATTTTTCCTCTTTTTTTTTTTTAATTGTATTTAATATTTTTCTATAACATAAATTTGGGTGTACACGTTTTTGGACCGTTATCGTAAGTTATTTGTTTGATAAGCTCCAGATTAGGCTTCAGTACTGACTAATCTAATGTATATGAACAAATATATTGTATAGCTTCCTATTAAAAATATGAATTTTAAAAGATAGATTTGTGAGGGGTGTAATTGTATATGCTGAGCGCTGTATGTAGTTAAAATGTTTCTAACAATACTGTCTCCATGGAAACTTTCAGAGTTCGACAAGTTTCTAGAGGAGAGAGCCAAAGCAGCAGAGATGGTGCCCACGCTGCCGACCCCCCCGACCGATGAGCTTTCTGCTGCTGCCGGCTCCTCTGCCAATGCAAGTAAAAAAACAGGCAGATCCGAGGACACCCTCTTTGCCTTGTAGATAAGTGTCAGATCCTGTGCAGATCCGTCAGCATCTCCTCTTTCTCTCCTGCTTCCTGCTTCTCCAGCACAATCAACACTATCACAGCTGAGGCCATCAGAACTGATTCACGATGTAGACATTTTCATAACGGACATTTTCATACTACACCAAGTTTTCATTCCATTGAGGAAAAAAAAAATGCTGTTGAAGATGATGCACCCATAACTCCCTCTAAAAGCGTACCCTGACATGCGGGTTTCGGGAGGTTGATGTCTATTTTTTTAAATTGATATTTGTGGTATAAAGCAAGGAGATTCATGTTTACTGTCAGATCCGGCCATGACTAACTTTGTGTTCACTGTGGTCCCGCATGCAGCAGCTGAATAATCCTGTTTCTCTTTCCTCAACAATAATCTGTAAAGGGAGCTTTTTTATTTTATTTACCAGATTGCTTTAAAGGGATGCTTATACATAGGAGTATTTATTATAAAAATTCCAGTTAATACCTCTAATAAGATAAACCAGATGGAAGAGATAATGGTAGCAGCTGACAGATGTGAGAATTTTGTGTCATATAACCTGAAAATTATAATCTGTTCTCGAATGAGTCTTGACTATAAGGAAATGTTTAAGCGTAGACATAATTTATTCAAATTAATAACTGAATATTTAAAAGATGCACCTATATCGCATCATAAGACAGATCAGAGGGAAAAATATATTATATTTACTTCACTGGATCGTTTTAAATCTCATTGTTTTATTAGGCAAAACCATTGCCTATTAGAATGGATTAATAGGAGCAAAAAAGTATGTTTTTCAATTGAATTTGCACTGAAAGATCTGTTGGCCGTTCGGCTGTGTTAAAAGAGCTTTTGTTCAAAGCCCAAATTTAAGCTGTCGTTCATTTCAATGCTGTCTATTATGAGGCCGAAATCAAATGGAGTTTCTGGTGAAGTGATGGTGACTGCGAGGCAGTTTAAATTGGATTTTGCGCTCCACAACTGCAGCAGAAACGTTGTTGAGCTTAGCGTTTGTTATTAGGGAATGAAATGGATCTGCCTTAAAGAATTGGTTGTGGGTAGTTTAAGGTTTAGTCCACTAATGCTCATTTGACGTTTGGTACTCTCATGTTTGCACACCAGGAATTTGATTTCGTGAGGTGAATGTGCTGATGTAATATCTTTAGTTGGAGTGCTGTGTCTCGCTGTTGTGTACATACTGTTTTGACGGACCAAATGTTTAACTTTAGCAAAATAATTTAAGTGTAGAGTCAACTAACTTGAGACATATATTGCTTTTAACGTCCAGAGGAGTTTTAGTTGTGTTTGTATTTGTGTATGGCTTTTATTTGTTCGTTTAGGTGAGCACAAATCAAAGGGACAGTGCACTTTTGGCTGGATAATCGTTTTTTATGATTTGTCACACTACACAAAATATGTATTACAAACCCAGATCATTTAAAGGGAAAGTTCATCCAAGACTGAACATTATCATCATTTCTGTCACAAACATGTTTGAGAAAAAGATGATATTCTGAAGAAGGCTGAAAACTCGCAACGTTTCAAATCTTTAAGACTTTGGAAACAAAACAAATCTAGAGATTTCTAATCCCTTGTTAAAAGTGTCTTCACCCAATACTTCAAAGCTTTGAAACGATTCTAAGATGTAGATGTGAAGAGGAAAAAGTTTCTTATTAATTTGGAACCACATGCGGGTCATTTTTTGGTTGAATTAAGCATTTAGACCAGTTCATTAAAGGAATAGCTGATCGAAAATCAAAAGTACCCAATAATTTGCTCACCCACAAGCTATCTTTGGTGTTTTTCTTCTATCAGACACACACATTTGGAGTACTTTTCAATTTTATCTTGGCTTTCCATGCTGTATAATGGTGTTGGAAACTGTATTGGCCATTTTTGGAGCTTTTTAAAAGCACATACATCAGTTGTAAAACTGATATACAAATGGTGTCAAACTCAATTTCTGGAGGACCGCAGCTCTGCATAGTTTAGCTCCAACCCCCTTTAACACACATCTGCTTAATAGTCCATAGTAGTCTTAGTAGTAGCCCTCCAGGAATTGTTTGAGACCTATGCCATACACCATCACGGAGTTCACACATGTCTTATGAATCATAATAATGCATTTTGGTAACAAAAACTGCTTTTCCACTGTCATCACGAATAGTTCTGTTTGTTTTACCATTCCATTCTTTGTCAATCTGGTCGAGTCAGAACAGAAGTAGGTTTATTTTTTGCACGGTCCTGCTTAAAACTGAATTCTTTGGAATGTTACACAAGTGCATCAGCTGTTGTCTTGCTAAAATAAGTGTAAAGTAAATGGCAACATGGACAATTTTTGAGACACTTTTTTTTTCCTGATATTTACTACATTAAATAAGTATGAATAAATCCGCCTGGATTATTGGGGATATCATACGCAAACACAGCATAAATGTCTAATCAAGACTAAAATCCCTGGTCAATAGTGGTTTGTGAGCATGCCATGCTTTTCTAAGCTCATGTGGAAACATTGTACCTGCCTGTTCTTAGAGCGATTGGGCATGATAGTAAAAAAGCACATCAATTTTTTAAATTAGGAATTCATTTAATTAGTCGTCTGATTATCCATTGGTCTTGCAAGAGCCATTTTCCATACAGTTTATCACAGAAGATGAACATAAACAAAAAAATTAGTTGGCATGGCATTGCAGTATAGAGTATTACTCAAACGCTGCATTCCCACGAATCATGTCTATCCTAGAAGCTTCTGCTACAGTTTCATCTTGACTCATACGTCAAGTCAAAAGTCAATCAATTTATCGACAACATTCTTTCGACAGCCACCGCAATTCAGTGATTGGACTTTATGAACCTGAAGTTTATGTTATAACAATGCATCGATCTGCTTCCTAAATCATGCACAAATCCCCTGGTTGTATTTGAGATTATGCATATGTGCTTTAAGAAGCTTCAAAATTGCCACTATACACATTATAATATCATTATACAACATGGAAGAAAAACGGAAAACTACTCTGACTGTGTTCATCTTAAAAAAATAAAAAATAAAGTCATATGCACCAAGGATGGCTTGAGAGTATGCAAATTAAGGGATCATTTTCATTTTGGGTTGAACTATCTCTTTAAAGGCAACAGCGCATGGATCTACCTATAGCTGAAGTTGTTTATTCATAGTCTTTTATTGGGTAGCAATGATATTTACTTTATTATATTTTGAGTATATTGGCTATTTTGCTGAAATTCAAAGTTAGCTTGAGCAGGGATGCAATGCAGCTTGATAATATGAGGAATATCACTAAAATGTGCTATTTATTTCTTTTCATAACAGAAGACATGAGGGACAGGGCTGGTAATCACAATGAACTCATTTCTTTTATGATATCTGTATCTTCCAGTTCGTTATTAATATTAACACTAAATTTAATGTAAAAACGACCGATTTTTACCTCCCATGGATGTCAAGCATCCTGTTTAAATGCTGTTGGGATTGGTTTTGACACTATTGCTGAAGTGGTTCATCTTGACAGATAAAAACACATAACTTCATTTAAACCAATTTCTCAGCAGCGGTTTCATCTGTCGATGCCGCGTTGCAATTTGAAACGGTTTTGGCTGTAAATGACTCTCATAAATGTACAGTTTGAGAATGTTAATCAAGTTTATTCAGAGTCTTTTATTTCTGAAGTCAGTATTGGTTACTGTATATGAGTGTGAAGGGACTGTAAAGGAGCGAATGGTAGCTTTTGAAGTTTGATCTTTATTTTCAGTTCAGCTGGAGTAAAGATATTCCAATCAGATGAAAAATGAACCCCGGTATACGGTCAGGTTATGCCAATGTCTTCAGTAGAGGAACCCTTTTGTACCGTTGAGAGCATTTCTTAATAGGGACGGCACTTTTCTTCTTTTTGATATGTATTTGGAGTTGTGTGTGCGTGCGTGTGTGTGTGTCTATGTAAACAACAGCTCCTGATATCCTGACGTCTGCTGCAAACACCATGTTCATCCTGTTTACACCAAGAGACGGGAACGAGAGAATCTAGCTTTACAAAATGACACCTCTCTGAATTGGAAGTGGCAATGTAGTGTGTGTGCTTGCGTGTGTGTGTGCTTGCGTGTGTCTGTGTATGTGTGTGTGTTTGTGTATGTATGTATGTATGTATGTGTGTGTGTGTGTGTGTGTGTGCGTGTGTGTGTGTGTGTGCGCGCATGCGTGCATATGTTTGTGAGTTTGAGTTCATGTGAGCGTGCACGTGCCTGTGTTTGTCCATCTGCGTGTGAGCGTGCATGTTTATGTGTGTTTTCGCTTGCTTGTTTGAGTATGTGCTTGCATGTGTGTGTGTGTTAGGAAGTGAGTGTGTTTGTGTGTGCATATATGTGCATATGTATATATGTGTTTGAGTGTTTTTCTTTGTGAGTGTGCGTGCCTGTGTGCATGTTTGTGTGTGTTTGACCATATTTGTCTTTGAGTGTGTGTGCCTGTGTGTGTACATCCCTGCTTGTGTGTGCATTTGTGTATACACAATTGTGTGTTTGAGCATTTTTGTGTTTGAATTTGAGTGTGTATTTGTGCATGCATGCTTGTGTGTTTGGGTAAATATGTGTGTGCGTTTGTGAGTGTATGTAGTATATGCATTTGTGCGTGTGTGTGTTTGAGCATATTTGTCTTTGAGTTTGAGTGTGTGTGCATTTGTGCGTGCATGCTTGTGTGTTTGAGTGTATATGTTTGTGCGTGTATGTGTATATATGCATTTGTGCGTGTGTGTTTGAGCATATTTGTGTTGGAATTTGAGTGTGTGTCTGTCTGCGCATTTGTGCGTGCATGCTTGTGTGTTTAAGCATGAGCTTGAGTGTGAATTTGTGTGCATGTGTATGTATGTATGTGTATTGTATTGTATGTGTGTGTGTGTACATGCGTGTTTGAGCATATTTGTGTTTGAGTGAGTGTGTGTGCCTGTGTGCATGTTTGCATGCATGCGTTTGTATGTGTTTGGGCATGTTTGAGTGTGAGTGTGTCCATCCTTGTTTGTGTGTGCATTTGTGTGCATGTGTTTGAGTGTGAGTGTGTATCCTTGTGTGCGTGTTTTTGCATTCATGTTTGTGTGTGCATTTGTGTGTTTGCGTTTGTGTGTGTTTGAGCATGTTTGTGTTTGAATTGGAGTGTGTGTGCCCGTCTGCACATTTGTGTGTGTTTGATTATGTGTGTATTATGAGTGTGTATTTAGGTATGTATTTGTGTGTGCATGTTTGTGTGTGTTTGAGCATATTTGTTTGAGTGTGCTTGCGTGTTTGTGTGTATGTGTACGTGGTCATGTTTGAGTGTGTTTGAACATTTTTGTGTTTGTATTTGAGTGTGAGTGTGCCTGTGTTTTTCAGTACATATGTGTATGAATGTGTTTGCGTAAGCGCGTTTCTGCATGCGTGCGTGCGTGCGTGTGTGTGAAGAGCTGGAATAAGCTGTACTCTCTCTCTCCCCCCAGCGATCATTAGTGTGGTCAGTCTTGGTTTTTCAGATGGACTGGTGTCGGTCTGTGTGCTTACCTGTTGTTATACCTCAAGCTGCTCTCTGTACTGTTTGATTAATGCATGTGTTGAACTCCAATAAAACATACCAAGATGGTGATCTGTTACCTGACTCATTATTATTGTCTTATAGGATGTACACAACTCTTCTCAAAATGATGTCGTTCTTGCTGGATGAGCACTAATTTTGAAGCTGTGCTCTTCTACTTGTGTAAAAAATTATAAATGCCATGGTAAAGTCCATCTCAATCCCTTCCCGCTATAACATCACACCATAAGATCCCTTTATAGGGTCAACCAATAGGGTTGAAGTTTCAGATATTTTCATTTTGTTGGTTCTCCGTCTGTCAGTTCATGGCTTTACAAACTGTTTTCAATCAAGTATGTATTTTTGCAGTTTACAAAATAGCATGTTAACACAAGTGAGGTTATGAAGATTTCATCACTACTTAATAATAGGTGTGTTTTAATTTCATTTTGCTCAAAGCCTAACTATTAATAACAAATTCATAGAACCAATAATAAGTCCACCAATAAGTGTTTTTTTTTTCCAGAGCAGAACGTTTGCAAATGTAATGATGTAAAAGTACATGTAATATACAGTTGAAGTCACAATTATTAGCCCCCGTTTATTTTTTTTCTCCCAATTTCTGTTTAACGGAGAGAAGATTTTTTTTTCATCACATTTCTTAACATAATAGTTTTAATAACTCATTTCTAATAACTGCTTTATTTTTTCTTTTAATTTTGTGTATTAATATTATATTTACATTATATTTACATTCATATATATATATATATATATATATATATATATATATATATATATATATATATATATATATATATATATATATATTTACACGCTAAGTTCCAGTAAATTTTAATTGTGCAAATGCTCTGATGCGACATCTGATCTGCATTACACACTACAGTATGTTCAACTGCAAAGGTGGATTTTGTCGGTAATTTCGTTTGTTTGGTTGTAGCACTACAGTGTCTTTATTCTGATTAAATTTATTTATTTAATTTAATAATCTGACAAGAGGACACTGATATAACAATATGTTGAATATAGAAAATACAGTTTATCTTGGCTTTATCACTGTATTTTTTTGGTGTTGTTAATCTTCAACTTCATTATATTACCACTAAAGTGTTACCAAGGTCATTTTATCATATTTGGGGCCAAAACATTATCTTAACCCCAGGATCAAGTCCTGATCCCAAAGTACCAATGCGCTTCATGTTTCTTAAAAAAACAAAAAAAAATTTCCTAATTGCTTTCAATTGATGGGAGGAAAAAAATAGAATAATATTTGAGACAGTAATCATACTGAAAAAAAATATGCTTTGCCATCACGGGAGTAAATTCTTTTTTAAAATTATTATTATTATTATTATTCATTCATTCATTTTCTTTTCGGCTTAGTCCCTTTTAATATAATAACAACAGCAATAATAATAATAATAATAATAATAATTATTATTATTATTATTATTATTACTATTATTTAAAATAGTTTTAAAAATCCTCTTATTCTGTTGGACTTTAATTTGTTCAAATGAATGCAGCCACTGTAACTGTATAAGCGTAAAGAAGACAAATATATTTCCAAAACCTTAATGACCCCAAACTTTTTTCTTTCAAACACATACTGTAAATGATCTACAACCAATCTGTAAAAGGCTTAAGGAGAAGTTTGCTATATTCATTTCAGGGGAAGGAATAAAACACAACCATTGAGAACCTGCTGTAGACTGACTATTGTAGAATTGAGAAAAAAAATGTATATAAAGCGTAGATGCAACTATGAAAGTAAATATTTTATCAGCAAGGAAAGGACCATTAAATATCTTTAAAAAAATCTGTCTATTTATCATAACTGCCATTTAAAAAGATACTTAATTATTATTAATAACATCAAAGCAAGTGAAGAGGAAATATTGTTTCTCGTAAACCCTTGAAGTCAGAATCTTCTGTGCATGTCGACAAATTTGACAACAATTTAGAGGAAATGATGCAAGCACCAATGAGAATCAGGCTCGCATGAAACATTCCTGACTAAGAGTTCTGATGAAAACATCTTGTGTTGGAAAGGCTTTAGTAAACGCTTGTAACAAGTGCAAAGTCACTTTCATCAAGGGCCTAATGGAAATGAATTACTTTCTGATCTTAGCCAAAAAACTCAACTTTTTCCCTGCTTATGCTCTGTAATGAATTTGATGACCTCAGTGGCTAATTACTACAACTGTCTTTTAAGTCTAAATGTTTATATGTAATATAAAAATATCATTTCAAGAGTTCACACTTGCTGTTGATTGATTATAAAGCATGTTTGGCATGCTGTCCTGGGAGAGAGCCATGAGCTCATAAGATCTTCGAGCTTGGGGCTCCCTCCCGTTTGAAAGGCGAGAGGGGAGTTTTAGCTCAGGTAGATCTCAAGAACTCCCCTGCTATAGTAGCTAATGAACAGATAGTGATTGCTCTTATGAGATAACTACTTACTAGGAGCATGTTTTTGGTGCCGATTTGCATTAGTCAATTAACTTAAGTTGCATGTTTTGGATGGTGGGAGGAAACCGGGGAACCTGGGGGAAAATCACATGAGCACGGGGAGAACGTGTTAACTCCACACAGAAACGTTGACTGGCTTGGTAAGGACTAAAACCAGTGAAGTTCTTGCTGTGAGGCAACAGTGCTAACCACTGGGCCACCGTGCCACCCATCAAGGAAAGGAGGAGGAGTAGGGGTGGAAGGGGGGTTTCTTCAAAACGAAGATGGCTGTTATATGGAACTTAGGGTATTAATAGTGGCTTAGGAATCGTCTGATTGGTAAATAATGGATTGGATGATGCAGGACTGGCTGCAAGCAATCAGAAATACGTGATCCTCTTAAAAATTAGTTTATAAATAAACTTAACGAATGGGGACTACAACAATTTCAAGGCCTGTTTACAGTATGGTCTAATGTGAATCAATAATGTGAGTTAATTATGTAAGGAATAGTTGATGACAGAGTATTAAAATAAGCTGCGGTCACACTTGAGTTTTTCCCCACAGACCTCCATTCATACGCAATCGAATGTGTCAGACCGGAAACACAGGGTCATACGTTAGGTTTGCAGGTCGCTGCGGTGCAAAGTTCAAGCTTGGTGAACTCTGACCTACGAAATCGCATCACTTGACTGTCTGAGACCAATCGAGGATCAAAACACGACATCTCTTTAATGTCTAATAATCTTGTTTAATCCCGCCCCTTTTCGAGTGTTTCATTCCTTAGGGGTAAATTTTGAAGCCCTTCCCCTTCACACTCTGTTTCAAGAGCCAAGGGGAAGGGGTAGGGGTACAAAAATAGAATTGGGATTGTGTGAGGACAGCAGTCTCAGCAGAGAAACCCAGACTTCCCTTTTCCTAGACATTTCCTCCAGTAACTCTTGAGAACCCAATACATTTCCCGGTAAGTCGAGAGACATAATCCTCCTGGTGGGACAAACCCAGAAAACCTCTCCATGTAGGAGACTCTCTAAGGCCCCGTTTACACTAGTGCGTTTTAGTATTAAAACGGCGTTTTAGAATGAAAACGATCCGCGTCCACACTCGCGTTTCACCCAGCGTTTCTGAACTGCTCTCCGTCCACACCAAAACGCTGAAAACGCACATCACGTGACCACACACACACTCTCAGGCAAGCGCTGTAGCCAATCTACCCAGATGAGAGCTGTGCTAGTCGGACTTCTCATCAAGCATCTCCCGCTGGATCTAACCTCACTATATTTATTAAACGGAATATTTCTTTCATCTTGTTGTCTTTATTTAACGACATATTCATTGGACATTGGAATCTATTACTTGTTCTCAGGTAACGTGTTTTGGCTAAGCGCAAAGATAAGTTAATGATTAATGTAAGCACGTACATTCTGTATATTGACTGATCGCTTGCCTTTATTTCCTATAATGTATAAACTTATTGTATGTTATACTTTTATAATGGCCATTATCGATTAAAACTGATATTCAGCAAAGAGAGGGTGTGTTTCGTATTTTCACTGAAACTGAAAGGAGGCAGTTGTTGTAGGCTCCGTTTTGTTATAAATATGCACACAGTGAAGATGACGCTCATATTTGCAGCACGACGCCTCAACATTTTTGCTGTCTGTTTAGTTGTTAATATTAAAATGAAAATAGGCAGTTCCTTATATCATGTTTACATTTTATTGTTGAGAAAGTGAAACAACGTAGCCAGGGTGATGTGAATGAAGTTATAAAGTACACCGTTCCCTTTGAAGATTTACCCGTGTCCTCGGTATAGTCTGTTTTCCATATCAAACTGAGAAGAAGAGACTGCAGCCTTGATCAAACTTGCGAAGTTTTAACTTACACGGAGAAGATGCAGGACTGAACTGTGCGTGTTAGGCTACTTAATATTCAGGAAAAGCCCCAATCAGAGAGGCGAACGTCTGCAGCCCCGCCTCCGTTTTCAAATGTCTCCGTTTTCCATCATCCACACTGAGACGGAGCAGCTGCGTTTCAGAATGAAAACGGCCTCTCCAGCGTTTTCGAAACGCTCCGTTTTCGGCGCTCGAGAACTCCGGCGTAGTGTGGACGGATGGCGTAACCGTAGCAAAACTTATGCGTTTTCAAACTAAAACGCATTAGTGTAAACTGGGCCTAAGAGTCTCTGAGGGTTCGTCCTGTCAATAAGCAAACAAAGCTTATTTCAGCTGCTTGTATCCAAGATCTTGTCCTTTCAGTCATAAGCTCATGACCATGGGAGAGAGTAGGACCATAAATTAACCAGTAAATTGACAGCTTTGCTTTTCAGCTCAGCTTCTTCACCACAACAGACCGGTACACTGACTGCACTACTGCACCTCTCCATTTGTCAATCTCGTGTTCTGTCCTTCCTTCACTCATGAGCAAAACTTCAAGATACTTACACTCCACCTAGGGTAAGGACTATCCTACAACCAGGAGATGTCAAACCACCTTTTTCCAACAGAGAACCATAATCTCGGACGGTCCAGATTCTCATCCCTGCCGCATCAGCAAACCTTACCAGTGAACACTAAAGGTCCAGATCGGATAAAGCCAACAGG